TTCGCAATTCGAGATAAATAAGCGCGGCACGGGGCGAAAATTCCACGAACAGATACGCACACACGTAAATGTGTGCGTGTGCACAGGCGATATCGCAGCATCCTATGATACATGCCTAACACTGGAAAAGTCGCCGAACAAAGCCAAGTTTACGATGCTAAGCAAGCGGGAGGATGTGCCAACACAGGTGGTCCGACCCAAAGTAGCGGCAGCTCGTACGAGGGATGATGATTAAAGTTACCTTGTAGTGCTGCTTTCCGTACACGAGGGATGCATACGATCGTTCTGTAATATATCTTGCGGGATTTGCATTTTCCATATTAAAAAAAAACACCTTGCGAGGAATAGTCGGCTACTGATATGTTGCTCGAGGAAATTCACGGGATCAACTGAATCATCAGGGGGTTAGGGCTCTATATATCGTTCGAAGTTCGATTTTCAAAAATGCAACGGTCGCCCGGCTACCACGAAAACGTTACATTTTTACATGTTTTCACGAAATCACAATTAAGAACAAAGAAAAAGTAGTATACGTACGACGCGTCGGTGCAAGAATTTCTGCAGTTGCAATTTGAACCGACGATCGATTCTTGGCCGTTACGTATTGAAAAATTTCAAACTTCTCGATTTTACTTTTTTCACTACCGAACGCGCTTTTGTACTTCACTTTTTCGTCAAATTGCAAACGAATTGCCAACGAACGTTATTAAAATGACTATGTATCCGCAGGAAAAAAGAAAAACAAAGGGCCGACTTGGATTTACGAATCTCGCGCTGCACCACCACCACCACGAGTGACGTATGAAATATTGATTATTCGGCTGCGCAACGCCCGAGTGCGGCGCGCGCGAACAATGAAACTGCACCACGCGATTTTCTTGTATAAAGCTCGATCGCACAGGGCGATATATCTATATAGGGCTGCGCGCGTCCAGTCGCGGATACGGCGTTGCTCGCGCAGAATCCAATATGGCCGACGCGCGACGGGCTACCTTTAATACTGGCCGTCGCGGAACTGAGTCGACGTAAACACACCACTTACCACCACCACCGCTACTGCCAATACGCATTGCACATACACTAATAGACACATCATAATACGCTTCAAGTATAAGCCCGTATGGATGTGTGTGGGTGTGCGAGTTTACGACAAAAATACGTCAGCTTCTCACACGGAAGATTATAGAGTGGCGGTTCGAGCAACAACATATTGACCGATGTGGGTGAGTTTTTTCCCTCGTGTAAACGCACACGAAACATACACACGTCTTACACACGCACGCATACGTAGGCCGTCTTTGTTTATTAAATATAAAGCGTTTGCAGAGTCATTAGTCGGGGGCAGCGCCTTGAGCCGTATGACGACTACATACACACAAGCATAAATCTCAGCCCAATGAATAGTAGTAGTAGATTCGCACGCCCGTGACTACATAACATACATACAGGAGCTCACGACGACGTCTCGTACATATTACTTGATTTCTCTTACATCATCCTCTCGTCGTCGTTGTCGTCGTCGTCGTTGTCGTCGTAGTAGCATAAGTGTTTTAGTTGTGCATCTTTGCCACCTGCTCCTATAAACTTTTTCCTCCGGAGCCAGCGCGTGTTTATTATTGTTCTTCCGAATCTGCAATTGTTCTATTGAAAGAGTGTCGTTTTGTTCATTGCATTCAATCAAACATATATAGTCGATATACAGTGTATGTGCGACTGTGAGACACGTCGTAAGTAGTGCAGAGACATAGCATATATAGTAAACAAAGCTACGGCCGATCTTCGCAAGATTTTTTCCACATTTCCATAAAGGTTGGTATACAGAATTGTCTTTTATTGTTTAAGTTGACTTTGCGTCTACGAGTGCCTCGATTCCTCGTCTAGCTGATTTTGCTTTCTGTCTCGTGCTTCGTAAGAACGTGTGAAAAAACATATCGAAAACATTGCTGCGAGGCTCAAACATACATACGCAGTCGCACGTATACCTTTTCTTTGTCTTTGTTATTTTATTCAAAGAAAAAAAAGGCACGTGAGTCGTGCCTAGTTTGCTATACATCGATACCACTATGACCACGTCAAAACGATTCGGCAAATCAACGAGCTCGATCAAAGATTCGCGAATTAGAGGGACATTGACATCATCTGTTTCGTCGTTGGCATAGAGTAAGGTTAGGTTCGCTGACTCTCGTTGTCGTCGTCTCGGTCGTCTCTTTATATTTTTGCGCCAGACATTCGGTAGCTGGCTGCTAGCGCTCAGTATACACCGACGACACGACATCGTCTGTTATTCATTCTGGATCCGTTGGAATTAAAGAGACGATTTTCTAAGCTGTCAAGCATATGGTATAATAAATCGCGTTCGTCGTCGCCCGTTGATTGTTATTGTTGTCTTTGTCACTGTGCTGTGCTTCTGCATTTGGACAAAAAGTGTCTGCGTGTGTGTTTGACACGACGCTCGATTGTGCAAGGTAATACATAATTGTGTCGAATTGCAAACGCGTATATCCCCTTCTTCGTGTTCGCGAGTGAAGTATGTGACGACTGATCTCTCTCTCTCTCTCTGTCTCGCTCTAACCATCATTTGCGCGGTGAAAAAAAATGTTGTTACACAAAAAATCAGTGTAGCGTCGTTCGCGCGATAAGCCTCATCTTGTCTAGTCGAAAGCCATATCAACAAAGGTATGTGTTCGGCTGCCAAAATTACGATTTACACGCGTTTGTTCGATATTTTTTGGAGATACACGATTGTCTGCGATTACTGTACACCGAAAAATCTTGAGTGTCTGGATATCGTTGGATTTTATAAGCATAAGCGTGACATGCATGAAAAGTGATCGCGGATACATATGCGGATGTGCATGCTGTATGTATGTGTACGCATGTGTATGTGTATGTGTGTATGTAATAATGTAACATTGTAATTGAATGCACTGCTACGTGTCACGTATAAAAATGACCCAATTATTTAAACGTAACGATGCGAAAGAAACTCAGATTCAATTGGGTACGTAGAAATATCATGTGGGGATTTCATTGTAAAGAAAGTGCCTCGACCTCGCGAAAGTCACGACGTGTGCTGCTGCTGCGATGCACATAAAATAATACGATGTTAATAGTCCAGGCCCCAGCTTCGCTGCGCTGGAACAATTTTTATCAATTGTTTTTTTTAGTCGTATGTGAAATTTCAAAGCTAAGAACGTGCCAAAAATTGTTTTGTCGATTTGTCAAATCTAATGATTTTTGATCATAGGCAACAATTATTTTTAATTAGTTTGACAACTCCAAAAAAAAAAGTATTTTTTTAATACTTCTTCAAAGTTTGTAGATTGCATAACTTTGACAACGAAAAATTTAATTAACATTGTGAAATTTGGATTTTATCGTAGCGTTTATTTGAAAATTCTTTCACAAAATCCTTCTAAATTCTGAAAAATTTAATTACCTTGAAAAACTATTAATAATTGCTGTCAAATTTTCAAATTGAATTGTTTAAAACCTGCTTTAAATTGCAGTACGTTTTTAGGCCTGGCAACATGCAAATTAGATTTCATCGGGCAATTTGACATAAAAATACGTAGAAAAACTGACTAAGAAAAATTTCCAGCGCAGCAAAGCCGGGACTTTTGCACTATATATAAAGAGAGAAAAAGAACGATCATCGCGTTCGCGTCCAATGTCAGCGATCGATTCCAAGGTCCGACATCTTTATCGATATCCGATCGCCTTGCATTTTACCTGCTTACCTCTTTCTTCTACGTTTTCTTCTTTTTTTTTTTTTTACTTTTAAGCGTGAGAGACTGGCGATAATCTCGGCGCAATTCATTATGCATGATAATTTCGGACTACTTTAGAAACACGTGTTGATAACTCATAGGTGCGCGCGTGCGATTTTGCCCCGCGATGTCTGCGAATGACTGTAAATGCCTACGAGCCGCGTTATATACATACTCGCTTGAAATATTTATCAATATAAGCTCGTGTATGTGTCAGTGACTCTATGAGAAGAAAAAATAAAAAGAATGCACCGATCGCACATGCGATTCACCGTGATTTTGTCGTACTTGACTTGGAAAAAATGTTGAAAACTACTCCACCTTGAATGGTCAGCAAAAGTCGTTATGAAAATAGATAAATCTATCACTCCTCCATTGTAACAACAACAACCTACTTTTGAGTTCATTAAAAATACTCTACGTATAGCTATAGGTATTATTTTCTGTTCACGAATTGGATCGTTAGATATATCGTGTAGACCGATGGAAGACAGCAAGTGCACACGTGCGCGCATGCACGGCTGTTTCCAACTTGTTGCCTCGGCTCGTCGCGCACTGAGCTGTCCGCAGAAATAACAATAATAACTTGACGCGTCGGTCGATGAAAAGTTCAACGTTCATTGTTATTCTTTTTTCCCATATATTATATATTCGCACGACACAAGAAAGTTTTGTTTTTTTCATTCGCAGTAGCTCTCGCAGTAGCTCTAGCAGTAGCTTTGTCCTATATACACGACACCGTATGCGCGAGTCATTAATTAGAGTACGAGTTTTTATCTTTTGCCAAAAAGTAAAGCAAAGTTTGTCGCGTAGTTTTTTTTAACAGCAGAACGTAGATCTTGCGAGATACGAAAAAAAGTGTGGGTGGGAGACTAATTATAATTCATAATCTTCCGAAATATCAACCTCGAGCGCGAGCCTGTAGGCTCATTTAAAAAACGATCTCTCGCTAGCTCGCTGAAGGCGACCCGTCACCTTTCCTTCTCTCTCTCTCTCTTTCTCTCTCTCTCTTTCCCGGCGGCCAACTTTTTGCACGCGATGAGATTGCACATAGGCACATACACGCATACGTGATATATAAATGTGTACAAATATATATACTCACGCGTACACAGAGACACAGGCATATAGCGAGCTCGGAGTCGCGCATCGCTCGCGGGAGATATTTCTAGGTGTATTAGCCTCTCTGTGTTCTCCTCGCGTTGCCGTGCAGATTCTCTGGCCTCATCAGCAGTTAGTTGTGTTCGAGCATCTGCGATCGTCGAATTCTCGGTCGACATTGTCTTTTTGCGCGCGTGTCTCAGTACTCCGTTATTACGTTTTCAGTGTGTCAGTGAAAATAATACGATAAATACACAAATTTTCTTGGGAAATTGGTCTCACACGTGTGTAATATACACACGGCGTTGTGCGAGAAATATATGGCTGAAAAATGTATCGAGCTGCAATAATTGCCCTTCGCGGATAAGTCGTAAATCCCCGAGAATGCGTTAAAACTCGATAACGAGAGCACACAAAAGCGGCTTACGTAACTGGCAATTGTTCTTTTTCGAAAAAAAAAATATCTATACATCATCGGGTTGCTCTGTGGTGTACATCGTACACGCGGAGAATCATTAGGGGGCGAACGAGGCTCTGTGCCGTAAGGGCGCGTCGCGCGCGCGATCGATTCATCATCATCCGTCTCTTACGCGTCGTCGAGCCTCGTCGCGGCTCCCTAACATTTCTTAATTACCATCGAAACGACAACTGTTGTACGGTATGCAATACGACTACCGACGCAGCAGCAGCTCACCTACAGGCACACAGAGCCTAGTATAGTCTCAATGCAATTTTCCACCGTGCGCGCGTAATACCTACACCGCAGCAGCAGCCGCCGCTAAATAGCCGTTTATTTCTGGCAGTCTCGCGCTCGCGCAATTTATACACGCAGACATTTCTCAGCCAATTTCCGACCAATTTCTCGCGAAAAACGCGATCCTCTCTTTAAATCTCTCTTTCTCTCTTCTGTCTCCCTGTTCCGTGCCGCGTGTGCGTCTGTGCTGCGTATATTATTGGCAAAATAGCAAAAATGAACGAGCGCAAGCGTACGCTGATATTGCACAAACGGCCGACCGACGACGCCGCTGGAGGAAGGCCACTGCTCACCGGCGACGAGATACCCATACGGCGACCTCGGCAAGTCGAGGTCTTGCCGCGCAGTGCGGGCGCTGATTTACAGAGAGCCAAGATACTGCCGCCGCCGACGATTTTACAACACACCGGAGGCAGGGATGGGCCGATCGTCACGACGAAATGTAAATGTCATATGCCCGTGTGCGTGTGTGTACGTGCCAGTGCGACTGTGCTAAAATGTATGCCGTTTCTCAAATTTCTTGGCGGATGATGTTTGTACAGAAGCATGCTGTATTTGTTCGTGTGACGTTTTTCGACTAACCCCTACTACCTTTAAACTCGACGAGATGGCTTAGATTTTCAATATCGATGACGCTGGCAACGGTCATGCTCAAACGTCCTCGGGGGCTCGTCATCATCGAGCTTTTCTCTATGTATTCTTTGCGAGATCGTACATGTAGTTGAACCAATGGACTGCCGCTGCTTTTCTAAACGCTAAAAAATATTCTTTGCCCCATCAAAGGCTCCTTTTAATTTCCGTCCTTTTTGCACAAATACCACCTCTTTATACAGTCACTCCGCTTTTCCGGCATAATATCTCTCTCTCTCTCTCTCTCTCTCTCTCTCTCTCTCTCTGGCGCCAAATAATTTTATACGTATATATACTCCTACCTACGTCAACAAGCACTGATAATTTTTTTTCTGCCTTTTGCTTTTCTTTTGCTCCGCTAGTAGTAGCTTCAAAAGCACCGATGCCATCGTTCGAGGACCATGCAAACCGTATACGCCCGAAGCAAGAACAAATGACGGATATTAATAACGATCAGCCTGGTGAGTACATTCGTTCCTATTTGCTTCTTTACTTTATTTTTTTGCACGCGCTTCTAATACAGATGACGACGCAATGACTTTGTTGCTTTTGCACGACTCGAGCGAGCGAGCGAGAGAGAGAGAGGGAACGAGCAATTTTTGCATGAATAATGATGCTTATTACTCGGTACAAATTGCGTTCTAGATTCGGAGGAAAAAAAATTATAATTTCAATGCTCATCTCGATTTTAAGTGAAAAAGGCTAAACTGACTTGAAAAGCTCGACTGTTATCATCATCATTTTCCCTCTTTTACTCTTGATAAAAAAACCCGATCACGTATAAAGTTACTCTCTTGCTATATGCAACCTGCAGATATATATATACACCTAAATAGCCATTTGGCCAAGGTCGTGACTTTTCCACGCACATCTTGCTCTCTTCCTCTCTCTCTTTCGCACTCTATATAGCTATACATTATGGAGTCATAATTTGTGCAAGCTTTATAGAAGCTATATGGATGGAAACACGCAGCTTTGCACGGTGCGGTCAAGGTCGCAGCCCGCGCCGCGTTTGCCGGTAGAGAAAAGCAAAAAGAAAGAGAAAAAAACTTCTCTCGAGAGCGCGTTTTTACTTGTTAGATGCATCTCCAGTTGCTACTTACTCGCGAAACAGAGAGAGAGAGAGAGAGAGAGAGAGAGGCAGAATGAAAAAATTGTCTGACGTCAGACCGCGATAATTTTATGGAAAAAGTTTCGTATGCGTGCTCGAAATTCTCAGATTCATTTTCATTATTCGTATAAGGAATATCGATGGATTAAAAATAGATGAGTAATCATGATAATTTACAACTTGGTTCTTCATAAATCGAATTGGCGTTTTTTCGTGATGTCATGGTTTGTTTGTTTTTCGTTGTTTAAAGGTACGGCTTACGGAAAAATCAGATTTCATGTATCGACTACCAATGACATTGCTGAGTAGCTGCAACGATTCGCGATGACGCGGTTAAAGTCATTATTTCTGTTGTTGACGACGATCACGTTTTTTCAACGATCGTTATCGCAATTAAAAAATATATTTCAACTTGAGAATTTTTTTATGTTGACTGCCTATTATAACTGTCTATTATAAGACAATTGGTACCTGAATTAAGTAAGCAGCCTCCATTGCATATTTTTTTCCTGATCAATTATCTCAATCGGTTATATCGTAAATTATGAACCCGAAAATTATTTGAATTGTGAGCTAAATGAAAAATGATTTAATTCCAGATTCCCCAAACATGCGAGATAGGGTAGAAAAAATCGACCCCGAAACATACAATTCCTCTCGAGCTGAAGCAGACATGGGGGTACCCGTTCAAATAGTCCAAGCTCTACCAGATCACACATTCGAGCTCGATGAAGAGGCCCTTGCTCGCATACTCACCCAAGACGATGTGAAGGATCGCAGTGTCGTCGTGGTTTCCGTTGCCGGAGCTTTCCGCAAAGGCAAGAGCTTCTTGCTTGACTTTTTCCTACGATACATGGAAAGCAGAGTGAGTAATCGTTTATATGTGCAAAATGCTCTATCATTTGTTAATTCATACAAATTCTGCAATCGAACAAATAATGGAACGTTTACTCAATTTTTTCAGTACATCCATCATGACACGTCTGACAATTGGTTGGGTGGAGATGACGACCCACTCAAAGGTTTCTCTTGGCGAGGAGGCTCGGAGCGCGACACCACCGGTATCCTAATGTGGTCAAAAGTGTTTCCAGCTACGCTCGCCAACGGAGAAAAAGTCGCGGTTGTACTTATGGACACCCAGGGAGCATTCGACAGTCAGTCGACAGTACGAGACTGCGCCACTGTATTTGCCCTCAGCACCATGCTGTCGTCCGTGCAAATTTATAATCTCTCTCAGAATATTCAGGAAGACGATTTGCAACATTTGCAACTTTTCACTGAGTACGGCAGGTTGGCGCTGGAAAAATCGGGCAGTACGCCTTTCCAAAGGTTAGTTTCCCTATCTCGCTTTTTCGTTGATTCGAAGATATTTTTTTTCAAATTAACCTTGTGACTATTAGGTTGCAGTTCCTCGTACGTGATTGGAGTTACCCCTACGAGGCCGACTATGGCGCGGAAGGAGGGCGCAAAATTTTGGAAAGGAGGCTTGAAGTTTCGACAAGGCAACATCCAGAATTGCAAAGCTTAAGAAGACATATCAGTTCTTGTTTCTCGGACATTTCGTGCTTTTTGATGCCACATCCTGGCTTGAATATCGCTACGAATCCAAAGTTTGACGGTCGATTATCAGAGATTGAAAGCCAATTTAAAGAACAACTAAAAGAATTGATACCTATGTTGTTAGCACCAGAAAAGCTCGTAACAAAAAAGATCAACGGTCAAACCGTCAAAGCTTCGTCTTTACTTCAATATTTTAAAAGCTATATCCAAATTTATCAAGGTGATGAGTTACCAGAACCTAAGAGTATGCTTGTGGTAAGTTTTGGCTAAGTTAATATATAGAAATAAATAATCTTAAAAACTGTCTGAACTGTCTGTTTTTGTCTGAAGGCTACCGCAGAAGCCAATAATTTATCTGCAGTGGCAGAGTCTAAAGACTTGTACATGCAAATGATGGAAAACGTTTGCGGAGGTACCAAGCCATTCTTAGCAACTGCACACTTGGAATCAGAACATGAACGATGTTTGGACAAAGCAATGAATCAATTCCAAAAGAAAAGAAAAATGGGGGGCGATGAATTCAGTCAAAAGTATTTAGACAAATTGCAAAAGGTTAGATTTCTTCGATTATCCAATTACATCGATCTTCAACTTTAATTACTACTTATATTTTCTGATTGAAGGACATTGATGAAGCTTTCCAACAATTCAAATCGCACAATGAAAGCAAAAATATATTTAAGGCTGGACGAACTCCCGCAGTGTTTTTCGTAATAGCCGTAACCACGTATATTTTATCGGGTATATTTGGTCTGGTTGGACTATATACTCTCTCATACATTTGCAACACCATCATGGGTGTAGCTTTACTGACATTGGTTTTGTGGGCGTACGTTAGGTATGAAAATCATTGTTTTATTCGTTTTGATTCAATTGTTTAACTACATTGTTTGTTTATAAAATTTCAGATATAGCGGTGAATTCAGAGAAATAGGCACGTCGATTGACGATTTAGCAACACTCGTATGGGAAAACGTAAGTTTAACAAAAACTTATAATAAAATTTAAAATAGCTAGTGGAGACAATGCTATTTTTTAAATTAACAACAGGGTCAAGCACTGAAATACCCTTAATCTATTGCAATTAATTTATTAACATTAATCCTTTACCCCAATTTAATAGATTTATTTGTTCTTGAAGTCCTACTAATGTGTGACACATTTTATCTCTACAGGGCTGGCAAACTTCTAAATTATTTTTTACACACAGACGACTTTTCGTTTCAATGTCCATCATGACTCTTACACTCCCGATATTAGTTTTGATCATCACAAACTTTTATCGCATCTATGAACAAACGTAATTTTATTTCTGTAATATATGTAATGTATCAGCGCGATTCACCATTTATTTTTGTTTACTTCTCGGGGTACAGTTATCACACATTTTATTTTACTTCATACATTAACATTTTCTTGCTATTTATTTTCTCATACTACTTGTTATCTTTTATTACTTTTATTTATTATATCCCCAAACAACTTCAAGCAGTATGAGAATCAGTGCTCAAAAAAGGTATGACGCTACGGCGTTGTTTCTAATAGTCTTTATCACTTTTAACTTTATGTGAAGTAAATTATAATTATTTTAGACCCAATTTTTTTATTATTTTATTAAAATTTATACCGTGCATTTAACGTAATGAATTAATTTTCTAATTATAATTTATCTTCCGGCATAGATGTTTCATTACTACGTTTAGGCATGCTCACTAAATTCCCGGAGAACAAAAATTTCTATTTATTTAAATATCATTTTCACCACGAAAATGCATGAATAAAATCACAAGCGTGAAGTAATTTATCTAATTAATGGCTTACAGCTGTTACTGATGTTGAAAAACAATATCTAATAATTCATTTAACTTTTTGTCTAGGTCATGAAACCAGTTTATCAGCAGTTCGTAGAGAAATCGGTATCCGCTGCAGTGGCGCAAGCCGCTGAAATGGCGACCAATGCAACAGTAAATGCCACTGGTTTGACTAACGGCAACTACAGGTCGTAATAATTGCTATTAGTTTGTCGATGCCAGACAGTATATTGGAATTCAATCGAGAAGACAGTTACTGAAGGCGGTATTCGTTTTAATACCTGCATACTCAGATAAATAGAAAAATATATGTGCATTAAATTTGTTAATGATGAAAAATGCAGATTTCTTACTTCAAGAAAAAAGTTCCAGGGAATTAATATTATTTTGACCCCGAGACTTTGTAATTCTCGATGCAGCTAAAACATGAAACTGTGAATGAAGAATGTACAGTACATACTGATTTTAAATCAGTGTAATAGATTGTTAAGAAATAATTATTTATAACATCGTATATGGGTGATTAATTAATTATATATATATATTTATATTGTTATCAAAATAAAAATTTGTACAAGCGAGGATTATATTGTCGAAGCAACCTAACTTTTTAAAAAATTTTACTACGTTTGAAAATTTTGTATGATATTAATCAAGTTCTCAGAGAGTTTTATGATATTACATGTGTATAAATATAGCTATTTAGTTCACGATATCTATATAGATGATTATTGAACAAAAATTTTCAAAAAATTCTTGAAAATAATCATTTAATGTAAATGCATATTACATAATTTTTGAACTCATTTCAAAGCAACTAAATAGATTTCCAGAATAAAAAATTTAATTTTTCTCAAAAAAATTTTTTATACATAACGTTGATTTTAACACAACCAAATCAATCTGTATTATTGTAAACGTTATGTGTTCTTGTGCCACAAACTTCTTGTACGAAACGTTGTAATAAAATAGAAGATAATATGTAATATTTCATAAGTTGTTCAAAATAATTTAACGACTTACCAAGATCTCTCGTGAAATTTGTCAAAATGCCATAATCTCGTATAGTGAAGTAGTAATGTAAAATTTTTCGTTCAGTTTTTTATTTTAAAAATCTTGCCATTTAATGAGTGTTTGCAATTGAAAAATATGTAGAATGTTCTGTTTTAGATATTTTCATTTGGTTAGTATTAGTTGTCTGTTACAGTTCATATGTTTCTAATAGTTTGGAAAACAAAGATCTATAAAAGTTTTTTCACATTATTTGCGTAAAGGTGATGGTTTTAATAGTTGATTGATGTCAACCATTGTCTTATTGTTATGTTGTGTTATTTTCAATTAGTTGAAGCAGGTAGATTTTTTAACATGAAAAAAAATATCTAAATAAATATATTCAAATTTATAGTAAAAAAATTATTCATTTTATCTTTATAGAACTTACAGATACCACATGATTTAAGTCATCTAAATGAATATTGTAAAAAATTTCGTGGAGAATATTTTTGGTGTAAAAGAATTAAAGCAAATTGAAATAAAAAACTATATATTTTAACTTATTTATCAGTGATAACTTGTTACATTGTTAAAAATACAAATTCAAACCATTTTTTCAAGCACCAAACATCTTGCGCACTATATTATCATAACCTTTAACAGATTTTTGCCACTGCTCATTGTAGATACTTAATTTTTCTTTTGCTAACTTATTTTTCGAATCAAAATTTAAAATTTTCTTCAAGTCTGATATAGCTTTTTCAAAGTCTCTGAGACCACCGTATGAAACTCCTCTTCTGTATAATGCCTTGATATTATTCTCTTCTTTATCCAATACTTTAGTGCAAAGAGTAACGGCATGATCATAGTTTTGTTTTATAAGCTGACATTCTGCCATATTATTAAATAAAACCAATTTTAAATTGAGTAGCTCATTAATAAGAGGCTCATCATTTTCTATTGGCTCCAGTGTCAAAATAATTTTACATGCTTTACTAAATGTATGAAAAGCATCAACATATCTTTTCTCTTGAAATAATTTAATACCCATTTGCTTATGTTCCAAGGCTATTTTATATTTTTCCTCAGATTTCCATTCCCAAATGGGTTTGTGATAAACAATATTTTCAACAGTAACCTCTAAAGAAACAACTGATATACCTATGTCATCATTCGGTACTTTTACAGTAATTAAACTTTTTTCTTTCAGAGACATAGTAAGAATTGCTCTTTCTATTAATATATCAACAATTGAATATGTTTTGTCTATAACAACTTCTTTCTTTTCTTCTCCATTGATTATTTCACTGTGTAAATCATTCGTTATGGCGTTGACAGCTTGTTCTCCGGTCTTATCATTGATTTTTGGACTGCTGATAATTAAAGTACAAACACACAAGTGACTTGGTCTTTTAGAAAAGTATCCTGGTACCAAAATTTCCTTTGATACTTTCTCATCTTTGGAAGTCCAAGTTGACATGATTTTAAAAGAGTTTAGAAGAATTTGATACTTCGATATTCCACTAATATCGTGAAAAGATACAAATTCAATTTATGTGTATAGCTGTTACTCTGATGGAAGACAAGGTATTATAAAAAAGATTGTTATATTTCAAATAACACTTGCGCTGTCAAATCGTGTATGTAAGCAAAACACAAAACAGTAGCTGTTATTAGTTACAAAAGTCGGCTTAGTTTCGTAAGTGATCTAGCCGGCAGACAACTCATACTGCATACTGTTTTGACAAAGGCAAATATTTGCCAGCGTTTTCTGCGCAAAAACACGTATGACCCCGATATAACAGAAAATATGACTGTCATTGCGCATCTCGTCACTAAGGGCAGAAATATTGAAAATTTTAGGAAATCACGATAAAAAATTATATGAATAACAAGAAATAGATCTTAATCAGTAAGGGATAGGAAGTTGATTTTTCAAATAATTCTACTTTTATTCAGATAAAAAAGTTTTATTTGATTGATCATAATCCTTAGTGATACAAATAGAAGTAAGCTATACAAAAAATTTCGTACAAACTCATAGTTTTAATATGTATTAGCAACATCAATTTTTATTTAAAAAATTAAGATGTTTTTCCACTTGAAATATATTCAAAGATAAGAGTAGACTCCATGCATATTTTCAAATTATGATTAGAAAACAAGAGTTGCTCTTTATAAAATCAAATTACGTGAAAACTAAAAAGAAAAAAGTTGAAACAGTACAATCACACACGCTCGTCCTGCACATTCTCATCAGTCCTCTCAAAGTCTTACAGCTAAATTTCTACAATTCTGCACAACAGTAATAATCGCTTACAACGCCATGTCATAGCCACCAACATGAGCCGAAAATAATTTCCATTAGTCCATTTCTGAAGTAAATCCTATACATAATATTCGCACTGGTCGAATTTCATTGTGCAAGTAAGACAGAACAAAAAAATATGTGCAGCCATGACCTTATAAGTGGATGCTCAATTATAGTTAATATACATTTCAATGATATCACACCGAAAGGGAGTATAGCAATTTGTGTGGTATGCGTGCCATATCGCAATAGTCATACATTTTTTTTAGTAATAGTTATAAGAGCCCCATTGATTATAAGGTGCGTAAGCCTGAGGATTACTTTGGCTGTACTGCCAATTTTGATAATTAGCGTAATTAGGATCCGCCGATGGAGGAGGGTATTGTTGATAGCTCTGTTGATAGCTTTGGCTATATTGACCAGCCTGGAATTGTTGCTGTTGATAAGGTGTCGAACTGCTACTGTACTGATAAGATGCTGGAGTTGCAGCGGGAGCGGCCGCATCTGTCTTGACGGTTTTCTTTGGCGGAGTAGCTTCACTGAAAATTCAGAAATAAAATCATAATGAATACCATGATTATCTTTGAAAATGAACTTGAATATAAATATTGTTTCAACTTACATTTTCTCGTCATTCTTGATTTTCTTTCTTTCCTTAGCTTGCTTTATACACTTCTGGAATTGGTCGTGTGCTTTCAAAACCTGTCTAATATCTCGGCTGAAATCTTCAAGAAACTCGACCTTGCGTTGGGCAAATAATACTCGCTGCTCAACATCAGCATGCTCGCGATCAATGAATAAATCCATGAATCCGATAACTTCCTGAACATCGACTGGGCTTCTTTGTAGCCCTAAATCGATCAGTTGCAAGTATAGTCTGGGATTGTCCTTATCTTTTTCTGTAGCCTGTAAATAAATTTTTTACATTAATATTTGAGTTTATGAAAAATTTGCTAAATTTACTAAAATTACCACAAACTCACCTTTAATAAGACTTTCATTGCCTTGTCAGTGTCATTTTTAATCTTACACAAGAACCTTGCGTATTTGACAACAATATTGTTTGCTATTGTTTTATTTTTACTAGTGGCGATATAGTGTTCATAAAGTTCAGCTGCTTTTTCGAGATCACCGCGACGGCGCTCAAGATTAATTCTACGGTAAGCAATCTGAAGCATATTTGGCGTGACTGAATCGATGTTTTCGAGTATGTTGGCAGCTTTCACGTAATTGCCCATACCTTCCTCAAAACTGGCCCATTGTAAATGAAGATTTGGCTTCTTTGGGTGGTGAACAGTGCAAGCTCGATGGTACACATCACGGATCTTGTCAACATTGTCGCCTTTTTGTGACTCCAAGTAACGCACAAACTATAAAAATGAAATAAATTGGCAATGATTTTCATTCTTTCGAATTTCAAAAGAATAAACATAATTACTGAACCTACCCTCATCCAAAACTCATCGTACAATGCGCAAGCTATTAAACAACGCTCGAACAATATAACTATCCGACCATGATCTTTCTGTTCAATTTCGTAATCGAGATATTCTTTCCAATTTTTCAATTGACACCTTTCTAAAGGCTTTACATGGAAATATGGTCGCTTGATCTATAAACGATTTAAATGCATTAAAACTAGAACAATGTATTAAACTCAGAACAAATTCGATAAAACTTACTCCTTCTTCATAGTTCCACCTGGCAGCAACGGCATTGACATTAGCTTTATGCATTTTTCTTCTGCTACTGATAATTTTTTCTCTAATCATACGAGTTTCTTCATCGGTAGGCGGCTTATCATCGGCAGAAGATTCCTCACCTGGAGGCGCTTCATCTGCACCAGCAACAGCCTCATCTGCTTTCAATAGAGATTTGACTTCAGCCCTTAATTCAAGGAAATCATCAACGCTGAGAATTTTGTTGGGGCTGGTTGAGCTGACAAACTCTTGGAACGACTCGAAGTGAGACATATAACCCATCGTAGGCGTTGTCAATAAACGATCGTAGATAGCCATTACTTTGCTAGGATTTTTGTGGTCCTGCTCAAATTTGATGTAGCTCTCCCAAAGGCGATCGGATCTGTGAACAGAGACAAGGTAGCGATTGCAATTAGATATTTTATCGCCGATAAAATTTCAGCAATTACTATTTAATATTTATCTTAAATTTAAGGAGATATAGAAGTCAACCAAAATATCAAAATATCAATCTTTTTGGAGAAATATTTAGTACACATTTCAGAAAACTGAATTGAAATTTTGATTTTTTGGCTGGGTTCTATATCCCCTTACAGAAAAATATCAAGATCAGTAAGAAAAAAGGAGGCTTTAACATAGTTTTATTGGTTTTTTTTTGTCTCGAGAGATTTCAAAAGCCCCAAACCGATGGACTTGCGCCAATGAAGTGAAAATAATTAAGAACAAAGGTTGATGTAAAACTTTATTTATTTTTCGCAAACATTATATTTCATTTTATATATTAATGAAAAAAAGTACATTCAATCACTTTCACTTAACTACCTGGTGATATTCGTTACAAAAAAAAGTATGCACTGTACACGCTTGACTTTACGATCGAACGCGACAGCTTGCTGCAAAATGCAGGATGCCTCAAAACTCACAGAATGATTACGGTAACTATTTTTCAGCAAAAGAACAAATCACTCCCAATTTGGTAATGTGTGTGCATGTTTTGAACTCATTATCAAAATGAAAGTTTATTGAACGTTTTTTCGAAATATTATTTTAAGCTATAATGAAAGATAAAATTATTAAACTGTCCGTTGAATCATGAATAAATTAAAAAAAATCATTTATCAAGTAATAATAAAAACTTACCTTGCTACCTTAAAAAATAATTTTTAATTAATTATTTAAATTTATCGCCGCAGCACAACAATTATTTTAAAAAATTTCAAAATCGTGAAGAACAAACTGATGTTGCACACTGCAATAAAAATCGTTGTAAAAATAAAAAATTTAATTAAAATGTATTTACCTGTATTCGAGCCCGCATGCCTTGATGGCTCTCTCATATTGTTCTCGCATTTTTTCCTCGTCTTTTTCGTGTATGACCTTGCAGTGATTGATGTAATGCAGCCACAGGTCGACACTCAGTGATATGGCGTTCAAACCTTGATCGAAGACCTGAGATATTGTAGTAGATCATTATGCAAATGCGCACCCAGAAAGAACAAAAAACAAATAAAACAGACCGGTCAACAAGTTGGAAAAAATTGTTTTGATAATTGCATTTAAGTACATGATTAATCGCACCAATAGACTTAAACTTAACTTAAATAATGATAATAATACATTAGCCTAATTTTATACTTCATTTGTTGTTATAATTTCATAAACGTAACACAAACCCATAGTTGTAGTATTACGCGTTTTAATAGTAATTTGTATCTTCCACTGTGTTTTTTTACTATAATGAATACTCACGTTTTCTCTTTTTTTATAGCTTGTGCATCGATTATTTTTGTCCTAAAAACGCTTGGTATCATCATGAATATAAAGTGATAATTTTTAAAATTTAATGGGCAGTTGTTATTTATTATAGCAACACAGAGAGGATTGCAGAGCAATAGTTCATTCACCTTTTATTTGTCTCTATATCAGGGATGATTAATTGGGCTTGAGAGAAGGTTGTATCCACGCTGTGAAGGCCTGCGACCTTCTCTCTGTCCAACTCACTTTATCCTCTCTATTTTTTTCATTTTTTTTTGCATCGTCCTTGTGTCATCTTCAATGCATATGTGACTAGGATATTATTTATCATCTGTCCCCATGTTTTATTTTTTTACTTTTTATTCAACGAAATGTAAATATTCGTCATACATCACTTGTTAACAATAATAATAATACTTAACGAATGATAATTGCATGATATACATACGCTTTTGTACATATAATTAGGTGTAATAACAATTAGAAATAATGCCAACGACACACTTATAAACATCACAAGTAGTTTTGATAAATATCATTGTACGGCGAGCGACACAGATTTAGAAATTCACAACAAAAAGCGGCCGGCTTACGTAATACTGTTTTTGTAATTCCATTTGTATTATAGTAAATAATACCACTATAATATTAATAAAACTAGTATCATCAACTAACTGATAATATAATAAAATTTCAAGTAATTGCATTGTGATAAAAATCATGTAAAGAACTCTTAAGTTGAAATGTTGCACAAATGGCTAATCGGTTAACGAGGCGAGTCTCGTCGGTGCCGCAACAAGTAGTGCTAGGCTGTTAAAAGGGAAAACCAATAAAAAAATATTTTACGTGCGTGTTCAATAGTAATTGCATTAATAGAGCACACGCCATGTATACATATATAAATACACATGTATGCCTACATGTGTATATACATACATATATCATCCATACTTATGTAATAAATAATAATACAACTTAATAATACTTAAATATAATTCATGTACTTCATTTAAATATATAGCAAGCAAAGAAAATTAAAATACTTAGGTCCATTTCACTGTTGCACTTGTAAAGTTTAAAAAATTGTGATAATAAGTACTCACCGTTTGAACTCGTTCGGGGTCCCCTTTCCTCTTCTCATAATCAGCAAATTTCCTCCAGTAACCATAACAGTAAGGGTAACGATCTAAAAATTTATAATATGCGTCTCTCGCAGCTTCTACATCGCTCTGCAAAAAAGTAGAAAATTTCGAAATTAATATTAATAATGAAGTGTTTTTAAAATATTTAAATAAATAAAAAAACTAACCTCTTGATCAACATATTGCAGCAAATAAGTCCAGCCTGTGAAATCAGCAGGGTCATCAATGACAGCTTTCCAGTACTTTTCCAGTTCAGGTAACATTTTCTTTTTGGGAGATAATGGCTTGTCATCCTTGTCATTGGAGGTGTCAGCTGAAATAGCTTTTATTTTAGCAGGGGTTTCATCATTATTTTCAGAAGTAGGTGAACAGGGATCGTATTCACCTTGAGGAGTTCTCTTTCTTTTTACTAAAAATGAAAATAAAAGGATTATAAAATGAGAACCTTAGTTAGTACAGTTGTTAAAAAAATTTACAAAAACATACCTCCTGTGCTGGTCTTGGTCTTCTTCTCAGGAGTCTTCACTGACTTTGCACCTTTCTTTTTCTTTTCACTTTCTAATGGTAGCTCATCATCGGAAACAGATTCAGTTTCACCAAGATCAGCAGGTTGCGCAGCAGGCAACTCTTCATCTGATACTGCTTCGGTTTCAGGTTCCTAATTATTAATTTAAAATAAATGACAATACTCAACCATTTTCAAAATACTTATAGTTTTTAGCTATGCATTATGTGCAGTATGAGTTTAGTACAGAAATACCAGAAGACTGTAATTCATTTATTAGAGAACCACTCAGTCTGAGGATAGGAAAATGGGATTTGTACCTGCAATGCAGTCTCATTGAATGACAAATCATCTTGAGACATATCTTCAATATCTTCACAAGCATGTTTAGTATACAACACATTTAATGAGGAAATCAAGGGTGAACGAGAAATGACTTTTATTATTATAAAAGCAAATGTGAAGCATGATGAATGGTTGCACAAAAGTGACCCGATGGAAAAAGTCATACCTTAGCAGTTTCAGTTGGTAGTTCATCTTCTGACACAGCTTCAGTATCTGGTTCTATTTTCTTCAGATCGCTTTCTTGATCACTAATTTCAATGACTTCTTGATTATTTTCTTTGGCTTTAGATTCACTGTCATTACTCTCTGGGATGAAAAATAAAATAATTAGTACATTATTTATCACCATACATAACAAGTTGAATAATCAAAAGACCAATTACCTTCAATATGTTCATCTAATCCATAGTTTGGATCTATGTCATCTTCAATCAGGATACATTGATCATCATTATCATCGTTATCAACCTACAAGTATATTTGTACATGATTTAAATAATTCGTGATTACTAAAACTGATTCTAAGTTAAAATTACCATCATTTGTGCATTATCAGGATTATCTTGGGCTGGAACCTCTGTTTCCATTTTCTGATCATCTTCAACTTCTTCAGGATCAAATTCAGGGATGTTGTCCTCTGGAGCAGCTTCTTGTGGTACTTCTTCCATTTCTTGATGCTCCACCACAGCCTGCTCATTCATCATTACTTGGTTTTCTTCTTCTTCTAGTTGTTCTACTAATTGATTAGAAGCTAGTGGATCTTGTTCCATTGTTTCGTCTTCATTCATCACTTCTGCCTGATAAGCAGCTGCAGCTACTTCTGCTATATTTTCACCGTTACTTTCAAAGGCTTCTGGATTACTTTCTTGTACTTCACTATAATCTTGAACTTCACTTATACTTAGGAGTTCTTCGGCGAAGATTTCTTGTTGCACACCATTTTCAGAAGCTAGCTCAGCTTGCTGTGGAACTACAGGAGGTTCCTACACGACGACAAATAAAAATTAAGCAAAACATTAAAGAATGCCTACATTGTGTACAATATTTAAACTGCAACATGCTCAAGTTAAAAAACAAAACAAGGTCTTGCAGTAACCTATATTATTATTTTGTTAAATTTAAAAATAATAACAATTGAAAAATGTCCAACCTCGTCAATGATCTCCTGAAAAGCTCTCGAGGCCCGGGTAGATCTTGTTGTCTTTTTTATGGGAGTCTTTTTTGTTGTCGGCACTGGGGTGCTCACAGCTTTGACAGCTCGGCCCGAACGAGTTCTCCTTACTGCTACAGGAAAGAATCAACGGCTTTATTATTATGATTCGACGATGACAATTCAACGATGCACAACAATGCAATCACCATGACAAATAAAATAGCAATGAAAATAAGTAAAGCTCGAGTTAATACTAACACTTCGTGTATACGAGTGACCGTCAGGCAACGTATAGAGCCTGACCGCAACGATGAATTAATGATAATAATTACAGATCGATTCATAAGTATAGCGTGTTTGTTGAAAAGAGCATTCGCGGCTGGCGATGATGGTCGGGCTGGCATCGATCATGCGTGCGAATATAAAAGCAAGCTTTGCACTTTATATACGCGCACAAGTGCATTCATAAAAGACGCAGCCATAGCATAAAACTCAGGGACGCCATATTACATGTATGCATGTTATAATGTGCGTGTGTGAGTGAGTGTGTATAGCCGAATGGCGCAGATATACACTGGAGAATTGGCGCCCGTTACACTTGGGTGCACGAGGTTGAGTACACGGCATAAAGGGTATTCGTAATAAGCACGAGTTAATAATGGAGCTCACCAGTTTCGTTGCCGGCCGTTTCGTTGCTCTCGTCACCACTGAGCGACGACATTGTCCCTCTAGGTCGCAGCGCTACTGCTTGGCTTGCGATAACGAAAAAATAAACCGACGAGCTTCTCCTCGTCGACGATGTCTCTGACACGCCTCACCTCTGTGTAAACTTTTTTTAGTGTGTAACGCACGCACGCCCGGCAAAACTATATATCGTGTGCAGCTCGCAATTATCAACGAGTGTTGCTTGTTAAAAGACGTCTGTTCGATGCCGTGCTGCCTCGTTCACTAACGCGCCGCCTCCCGAAAAATCAGTCGAGCAGCGCTACGATCTGCTCTACGATCGTGATCTCTGCTAGTGCCGCCGCGCCGTGCGCGAATAATATTCGCTGAACCCATTGCAAGTATCGCCTGTGGCCTGTTCGTCTGCCGTATACAGAGCCGATGACAGTTGACTTCCCGGGCTTTTTATGAAATTCGTAGTCACATTGGAAGAGGATTGTGTTGAGGTATAAAATAACTCGACAATATCGTGATCTGCGTTTAGCGTTCAATAAAATTTTTATTCGAGTTTGTTTTAAAAAATATCACAACACATTCTATTATCCATTTTTTTTTTTTTTGCTGAGTTTTTTTTTTATTTCTTTATAACGTGTCGTTTCGAACTGCTGAGTTCGAACGAAATCACTATTATAAAATACAAAATAATCGTCGTGAAAAAAGTCCGTAATTTCAGTTGTTAAATGCACGCGCGAGTATATTAAATGAGCCCATCTCGAGTTTTGGCACATTGCTATTATTTTCATAATATTATTATATAATATTGCAAAATCAATGTTGAGCAATTATTAAATCTATACAATTTTTGTCTTCTGAAAATTACAAAAATAATTATTAATGTCATAAACTCTCTAGGTAAATGTTAATCCTAAGACCCTAATACGCTGATAGAATTAACGTAAAAATTAATAACAAAAGTATCGGGGCAAAAAATTACATAAAATTTCTGCGTCATGTATAATTGTATGATATAATAATATATGTTACGTCGTAGAGGATATTATTCGTATTATGCTTTTTAACGAAGGATATTTTTTTGGTTTTGACACTTGCACAATTGACTGATATCGTCGGCTCTACTTTTTTTTTGTTTCGAAAAACGTTACCTTTTTTATATGCCGTTATTACTTTCGCTGATAATTAACATCGTTTTGTTTCGTTTTTTTCTTACGAGCTACACAGTATTAATAATCGATATGAAAACTTTCTTAAAATTGTCAACTTGTCTCCTCATCGCTTTTATACACAATCAACGCTTCCGTAATAACAAAGAAAATCGTTTATCCTGCCGGCTTGTATAAGCGTTTGTCCTTAAGCAATGACGGCGCTCGTGACCATCTTGTTGACGCCGCAGGTTCCGTCGCCTCGGTACACCCGGTAATATCCTTGCTCGCCCCAGTGCTCGCCCCAGCTGTTCTTAATCAGCCAGTAGGGCATGGTTTTCTTGAAAATCGGGTAGGCTGCAAAAGTGAAACGTTTCGGTTAGAAGTGAATCATTTTGTTTTTCTAACTTGACCCGAATCGAGTCGATATAATGTGTACTTACTCTTGATTCCGTAACCAACGATCAGGACTCCGTGATCGAGATTGTCGGGACTGCAGAGGAAGTGATAGGGATGCGAGACTCCGCCGAAGTAGAACTGCATGGCGTTGGCGTTGATGCCGATGGACATGGGGCCGTTCTGGACGAGCCACTGGGCCATCTGCGTCTCGTTGCTGGTGATGTTGAGGCCCGACACGACGCTCACCCGGACTTTGTTCTTGTTGAAGTGGCACTTCTCGTCCTGCGCGTCGTACGGATAGTCGGACTCGAGCTCGAGGCCGCCCAGCTCCTCGATGGCCCGGTAGGCCTGATCGGGCAGACCCCCGTTGCAGCCGTCGTCGAGCTGGTCGCAGTCGACGAGCTCCTGCTCGCTGAGCGACAGCAGCTGGCCGTGCTTGATGGCGTACTGGCCCTCGACGTTGCCCGTCACCGAGAACGCCCAGCACGAGCCGCACTGGCCCTGATTCTTCACCGGGGTCACGGCGTTGCGCTGCCTCCAGTCGAACTCCTTGGGCAGCTCGATGTCCGGGATCTCGGCCTTGGGCAGCGGGATGTCGTTCTCGGAGCGCAGCGCCGGATTCAGGCCCAGGTAGCGGCTGCGGAACTCGTCCTTGGTCAGGTCGGCGAATCGGGTGACGCCGTAGCGGCCCGTGCCCTGCTCGTTGCGCTGCAGCTCCTCGATAACGTCGAGATTCTTGCGGAAGATCTCGAAGCGCCTGTCCTTCTCGTTCTCCGTCTCGTACGTCTTGTTGTACTTGCTCACGAACTCGCTGAACAGTCGCTCCTCCTTCAACTGCCTCGACTGCATGAGCATCTGCTCGCTGTAGTGCTGGCCCCTCAGGGATCGCCTCTTTCTGCTCTTCTCGACGACGCTCGACGCTTCGGCTTGCTTCTCCTTCTTCTCCTCCTCCTTCCACTTTTTGTACTGCTGCTTCATCTTCTCGCTGTAGTTCTGGCCCTTGAGCGATCGCCGCCTCCTCCTGCGTTTGGACGGTTCGCAGGTGACGCTGATTATCTTGGGATTACCCTTGTCCAGCCAAGGCTGGGACCAGATCTCCATCAGGCACTCCTTGACTTCTTTGCTGGCTTCCAATTGGCAGCCGGTTTTCTCGCCCTTGCGACAGGTGCTGCTTCCGATGTCCGCGCGGATCTTGTACTTGAGTCCCGAGACCACTTGGACGGTGACGTCCTTGACTTTGACCAGCATCGGCTCGAAGTCGCTCTCGAGCTTCTGAGACAGGTGCGTCAGACCCAAGTGAGCGAACCTCTGGACCTCCGGATCGTCCGGACTGTGAGTCTGCGGTGCCCCCAGAGTCTGTCTCTTGAACCTTTCCGTCTCGGGTTTCTCGACGATTTTGCACTCGTAGTTGAGCAGTTTGGGCGACTCGAGCGGTCTCTTCTCGTCGGTGGCCAAGCTCACCTTGCACGACTGCCGCCCACCGAAGGTCACCTCGTCCAGACACTCGGTCGACTCGTCGTTCTCGAAGCAGTCCGTCGGCGCGACCTCCAGCGTCAAGTAGTAGACGATCGCGTGGTCCTTTCTCTCTCTTTCGGTGGAAGTCACGTCGATCAGGCGCTTCTTCAGATTGTCCTCGTCGAGCTCGTCGATCTGTTGGATGGCCTTCGTGGCTAATTTTCTCAGCAACGGCTTGTTGTTCTCCAACAAGCTCTTGGTCGATCGCTTGCTTCGGATGTTCTCGACCAGGGGTTGCTTCTCGTCCGCCACGAGCTTGGGCTCCTCCTCGGGCACCTGCTCCTTGACGATGGCGGGCTCGGTCACGGGTTCTCCGGAGTAGGCGACGGTGCTGGTGCTCGACGCCTCGGGATTGATGGCCACGTCGAAGTCCTTGAGGAACTCGTCGAACTCCTTGACCTTGTCGGAGAACTTGGCGGTCTCTTGGTCGTCGCTGCTCTGGCGATCCAGCAAGATCTTGCTGTGAGCGGCCTCGACGTCCTTGCTCGACAGGTCCATGTGGAAGACCTCCTGGGCTTCCTGGGCTATCTGATCGTAGTACTCGGTCTTGGCCTGAGTCTCGTCGTCGACCGGGTTGCTCGTCGGGGTGACGGCCGCCGGCGAGGCGGACGAGCTCAGGTGCACGTCGGCGTTGATCTCGTTGTCGTTGTTGAGCAGCTGATCGGTGCAATTGTTAGCGGTGATCTTTCGGCTATTCTTCACGGTGGGCTGCTCCTCGTAGGTGACCAGACACGATCGCACCGGCAGATTCGACTGCAGATTGCACTCGGATATCTCGATGTGGGAGTTCTTGAGGCAGCTGGACTCGCCGATGTCCATGAGCAGCTGGTACCTGACGACGTTCGAGCCCGGCGGCACGGCCCTCGTCACCTTCATGATGGCCACGACCTTGTGCTTGAAGTCGCTCTGGCCGGTCTCGTCCATGGCTCGCATGGCCTGCTGGCCGAAGGCCAACAAGCCCGGCAGCGTGGGGTTCAGCTCGTACGGGCAGCCCGGACAGTAGTGCGACTGATTGGCCCGGACCGCGACGAAGGGCCTGTCCTGCTCCGAGTGCTCGTGCACCTCCTTGTCGAAGCTCGGCTCGTTCGTCGTCCTGATCTGCTTCTCGAGCTCGGCGATGACCGACTCGGCAGCGGGGGGGCTCTTGGAGTCGGCTCGAACCGGCCGGCAGTGCACCGACTCGCGCATTATGTCGATGACGCCGGGCTCGTGCTCGCGTTGGCGCACATCGAGGCTGCACTCGGAGACGGCGCAGAACTCGTCCGTGGCCTTGCAGCTCGGATAGACGAGAAGAGTCAGCCGATAAATGACGAACGGCGGCCATTCCTGCAACGAGACGCAACGTTATAATATAAGGTAAATAAAGAGAAGAGAGAAGAAAAAGAAAATAAATATCAAGCGTCGAAGTAGTGTCAAGGTCTGCGTGCGTGCGCTAAAAATATATATATGTGCTGTACGTGTGCGGTATAATGATCGATCGGTCGCGCGCGCGCGAACGGAATCGATCTATTGACCTCTGTCTGACGAGTATCGATCGCGCAGCTGAAATATGATCCCTCGTCTAAGCTTTTTTATCGCGACGCGTATAATCCGTATAGACAAAAACAATACTCTCTTTTGTGCACCAAAAATCTTTGTCTAAATGTCTTTTCGAATAATATACAAAAGCATGAACTACTCTTCATTAGTAATCTATCAAAGTCGAAAAAAAATGTCTTTTGGTTTGCCAATTCCCATGTAATTCGTGAACGTTGAAAAGCGCTGGTGAGAATTTTTGTGTCTGCACACAATAGAGCATTGAGAACGTTTTCTTTCCTATTTATTCCGATCGATATCGACGCAGCTGTCTATACGAACTCCAAAGCACTTTATCGTATTTATGCGCGAGGCACCGATCGCGAGCTTAATCGGTTTTCACATCCGATCCTACTCGAGTCGATTTCGATCAAACAAAGCTCGGCTGACATACAACTGACTCGATGTACAAACGCGCATAATAAGTATATCTTCGCGTGCGTTGATTCTCGACCGCCGGGACATTGTTTATTAATCAATCGGCACCTGCGACGATGTCGAAGCGACAAACGCGCTGACGATGAAAGAAAAATGCGCTTGTGTATGACATTCGCGCGCGGCTCGATGCTCAATTCCGAATCAGCGTGTCACACTTTGACTCTTATTATAAAATTATAATCAAAAAATTACGACGCAGCTTTGATATTTACTGTTAGGCCGACGAATAATTACTTATAAACACTCACACACACACACACCTGGGCACATATAATGCGGGGAGCAAATATCGCGGCACATTATCAACGTGCATGCGAAATTGCCGCTCGCGCTGACTCGGCGTAGTAGCGTAAGCGTCCGCGTTCGCGATACGCGTATACAGCACTGCACTACACCGCCGCATAATATAAAATGCCATAGGTATACGTGTTACAGGTCGCATATATATATGAAATATAGCTGGCGAAATTATGCGTGCGCGACTGCTGGGCTCTATTTGTAAGTCGCGCGGGCCGCGTGCTGCACTATATTATATCCCACTGTACTACGCGTATGGTAGCGGCGGCGGCGGCGGCAGCGCACTCAACAACACATAATGTCAACTCGCTATGCTACATATGTATCGCGAAACGCACTTTCCATTTCGCTGGAAAGCCATGCAGTGCAGCGCGCGTAGTACATGCCACACGTATATGCACTATATATGAACGATAGAGAGATACAAAAACAAACGTACGGACACGTATATGTGGCCAGGCGTGCAAGTACGCGGATGTCTTATATATAGGCGGCTCGAATTCTTTTTTTTTTTTACATAATAATCCCCCGCCGCCACCGAGCCGCGAGCGTAATAATTTCTAGCATTTTCTCGATTAACAGCGACGAAAACAAACTGCGGGAATGCCGAGAGCGAGTTCGTGCACGGAGCATGTACCGATCTTGCTCGTGAAAATTGCACGCGTTAAGCGTGTGACGAATGTATTTTAATGTGCTGCGACGATGATATACTAACCGATCGTTGCGCCGAGACGAGCTCGGCTTTGTAGTAGGGCTGCTTGTCTCTGAGATAGCCCAGCGCGCTCTGGACCAGCAGACCGTCGACCTGGTCGAGGCTCAGATTTTCCGCCGCCGTGCCAAAGACTGGCCAGTATTGCGAGGAAACGGCCGCCAAGAGCAGCGCACTCATCAGCAGCGGTCCGCCGCGCCAGCAGCTCATGGCTGCTGCCATGTTATCGCGCTGGACGACGACAACACCGACGAGCACGAGCTATAAGCTCAGTACTATATGCTCGTTGTATGGTTGCTCCGAACGAGGATGACTATTCTTGGCTGCAGCGACTCGATGCAATGGCCTATCGCGTATCTAAACAATCCGCAGCCCGTATATTACACCGTTGTCGTGACTTACTGTAAACAGATAGGACGACTAGCTAAAAAAGCTTTTTCTGCGCACGCGAGTTGAGCTGTGCACGGAGAGAGCTCTCGACGCTTTGACGTTTGAGCTGCGACTGCCTGGAGCAGTTGCCGCGGACGAATAAATGCGCCTCGCGCACGGCACACGGACGCTGTCGCTGAAACTGGGGAGCTCTGCTGCTTTGCTCTGAGCTGGGCTGCTGCTGCTGCTGCTGCTTTGTGTTGCGCACACAGCACACACAGCTGCCTTGCACGGGGGCAAACTGCGTATATACTTCGATCGAGCGAATACTTGCTAAAGTGTGTCTGTGTGTGTGTGTGTGTATGTGTGCGAGCGTTTGTGACTGTGCGCGCGAATGTGTCTTTGTGCGAGCGGCTGAGGCAGTACAGAGCACTGCCAGCAGCAGCAGCAGCAGCGGAGGTCTATATATATGTATGAAACGCGACGGACGATAAACGGATTGTGTGCTCTGCTTTTTCGAGTATACACCGAGTACCGTGCGCTATATACCTATATATATATATCCATAAGCAATTCGGAGCTCTCCGAGTGTGATATATATAAATGTGTAGTGCACTTTTGCACTACGATTTTTCCTACTCGACCTGTCGAGATTTTCTATCGATCGGCTGCATTTCCAATATAGACCATTTCCAATTTCGCCTTATACACGAACCGGACTTTGAGATTTCGTTCAATATCGCTCATCTGCTCTGCGCTCGGGTGTATACTTATCAGCTATTGCAATTCGCTAAAAAGCTTCTCTCTGCTAATATGTCGTAATTTTAATTATCATACATTTTATGCGCTTTGGCACACGGCGCGCAATATAATATACATCATCGTAAGCATTCGGTGAAGCAGCAGCAGCAGTGGTGGCAGCTGCGCTCGAGAGCGTAAAATTTATATCTCTCCGTTATTTTTTCCACCTTTTTTTTGCGAGACCGAGAGAGAGTGACATAAAACATCCGAGCTTTAATTATGCTCGCTATAGACGCGTGCTCGCGTATAAGGCAAGCTCAAACGATAATATTTATCGAGACCCGAGCTTTCAGCTTTGAGCTAGCCGAGATGAATATTTTCATTTTTAGATTTTATCAAAGCTCGGCATTTATTTCTTCCTCGTTTCAAAAGAATCGATTATACGGTCTCATTTATTTTCCGAGAATATTGCTCGTTATCGCGTGCATGCTAAAATTTACTCAGCTAATCATTATGGAGATTGGTATGAAAACATTTTGTCAGGTAACATTTTCATAAAATTAATTCTTTTAAAGTGATCCTTGGTCGAAAGCCAAACTATCCTTTCGTAATAATATCGAGTCCTTGATGTTACCCGATAAAGTGCAGAGTATTGAACTTTTTCTCATTTCGTCTTCACCTTGTCCTTATAGAAATATTAAAGTGCTCTCATCTCATTTGAGCGAGAAAAAAACCACAAAATGAAGAAAAAAAATTGAAATTCAGCGGACTCTGTTTTCTCTTCTCGAATGAGTACATATTCAAACATCTTCATTAACACGCGGTACTTGTGCCGCGACGCATTGACAACTTTAAAAGCTCCTCGAAGCGACCAAGTTCATTTAACGGCGCAGTTTTTTTCATATTTTCAAATACGTCCATGACGTGATGATTGAAATGACGTAAAATTCATTTATAGCGTTTACAAACAACACCTCGATCGACATCAAAATAATAATATTATATAGACACTCTCAATTTCTCTTTAAAAAGTTCATCGACGCGCAATTCATCGGGCTAATAGTCGACGCTCTCGTACGGTATAGAATTCATTTCAATTAATTACCCGAGCTTCCTGTCGTAATACATGTCAATTCGTATATCGACGCGCGCGCGCGCGGACTGCGGACGGGCCACACCTGCCTCGTTTAAAACGGTCATCGCGGATATATTCGGATCTGATCCGAAAATAGGCAGGATTATATCAGGATACAGGCTCGCCGCTAACGGGTTAGTTCACCGAGTAAACATTTTGGATTAAGTGTGTATATACGATTCGCTGAACTCTATCGCAGTCATTTTCGAGAATAAATCCATTGGCAATTGCGAGTAGGGGTCGTTTTATAGAAATTATTCAGCTCGTTATCTCGTATCTCTCACAATATGTATGAATATATTGTATTAATGTATTCGTGCCGCCAGGATTAAGTGTTTACAAATTAATGAATATTACAACTGCTGATAGCTATACGAGCCGCTGGAATTATGCAATTTTTATCCATCCTTCACGGTAATGAGAACCGTAAAATACGAGAAAGACGAGCTCAAAACCTGTTGAAAGTTAAAACAATTTGTTCGACTTGCTTGGAAATAAAAATGACGAAAATCGATTAAGCCCGTCAACGAGTTTCGTCACAATTCGTATTATGCATCGCTTCCATATAATGGAATTTAATCGACGAAAATCGTCGTCGGGCTTATGCGATTATTTTGTACCTTTAGAAACGACTCGAGGGACATATCGTAAAATTTGCCAGCCGTGATGGTGCAAGCTTTTCTGGAGCGCGTAATGACCATTCTGATGTTGATGGACTTTGTGCAGCCGATCCACTGACTATTGTACGCGTGCTCGGCTATTTCCAAGCTCTGCAATAATGCGTTTTAGACAAACAAAATGGAATGCATTGAATTTGATCCACAATTTAGCACCTCGGTCTGCATCAGCTGGCCGCTGAGGCTGAAAATGAATAGCTCCATTATCGCCGCTTGCAGGAACGACGAGTATTTCATCAATCGGCCGTGATCCTTCATCATCTGGAAAATTTGAAAGTCCACGAATATATATACGACTGCGATATCTTTGCCGTGCAGCAGTTCGAATTATTATTTTGAATCGTACCGTAGTGACTTGAAAGCCAGCGAAGCATATAAGCCCCGTACTCACGACGAACTGGCCCAGGGCTAAAATGTTGATGACGGTTTCGACGTTTTCGGCATACCTTCGTAGACACATCAAGTAATTTTAAAGAGATTCGAGCCTTTTAATTTTTAAACCGTTTTTATATAAATTTTTAGCTGATAACTTGGGTTAATATATCGAATTTTTAAGATTAAAGTAATCGAGACTGATGTTTATTTTATAAGTACAGTTTACGTAAAATTTTCATTGAAAATTAAGGTGTAAGTACGAATTAATTTTTTTCATAAAACTGCATAAGAAATGGAGGCAAATTCATTTATATGGGTCAAAATGATACTTTTTCACAAAACTGCGCACAGATATGTCACTGATTTGAATACACTTATGATACTTTATAATACATAGTAAAACTAAGCAGTCCTAATGTCAAAATTTGAAACCCTTAAGACGCTCGCACCTTCCAAACTTCATATGGATGCCTCTTTTTATTTTTACCGATTTTGAAGATATTTTTAACTTATAAAATATGACAATTTCATGAAGGTACATTTATACAATAAAAGCAACCTTTTCAGATTTTTTAGATGCTTCTGAGCTTCAGAAAAAAATCAATGAAAATTTATTTACGAATGGAGCCGATATCAAACTCTTAAAATAGAGAAAACTGCTGCCAATTTATTGGCAAAGAGCTTCCTCATAAAAAATGATAAGAATAAAACGCATCGGTTATTAACACAAAAATTCGTATTTTTGACTTTCTAGTGTCTTAACTACCAGACGCGATCTTACATAAAAAAAATCGAAAAAAAAATTTTTTCAAAAAAAACCATTTTCCATCCCGATACAATAAAGCATAACTTTTTAACTACTCGGTGGATCCTAAAATAAGTTTTTGACGCTTCTTACGACACACAAATCCTTCAAAACGAGGGGAACAACTTCGCGCTGCGTGTCTCCGTTCAAAAGTTATACTGGTTCCAGACCACCAGACGTACACACACACACACACACACACACACACACACACATACAGACATTTGTTGGTAATTCAAAGTAGTTTCCAAATATGTGAACCAAATTGTCCTACGAGGTCTGGTTCAAAATCTCGTTTTCGAGCCTATCACAGAGCTTCCTCTATGAGGAAGCAATAGATGTCCACACCCCCAGTTTGGAAGCAGCACGCGATCTAAAAGTCTAAAATTTGGGTTTTGAGACTCTTTTCTTATGTCATTTAACGCATCAAAAGCACATCTAGATCGGTGGCATAGGTGTGCACTGTTTTGTAAGAAAGTATTAATTTGATCCATACACATTATTTTAAATGCAAAATTAAATGAAAATTGTTTAATTTTATTTTGAAGTTATCATTTAGTAGAAAATTAATGCTTTAGCAATGACTTAGTTTTTGCGCTATTTGCTCAAGTATTATAAAAATTCAATTACACTGAAACCCAATTTCTACCGCTAGATGACGAGAATCACAACATCAAAATCTGCAAGTGGCGAAGTAAAAATAATTGTATAAGTCAGAGTCTTTATATTACAGTCTTCGCTGTCCGTTTTGTAGCATGTTTTATACGGTCGAAAAACCTTTATTTTTCAGAATTCCAACTAGTTTTCCCTTTGATTAACAATAATTGTTTCAAGTGAAATAATATAAAAAATACTGTTTCTTTACGAAGAGTTCGCTTGTCTGGTAAACAATATACTGCCATAACGCGTGCATTTCACTATCAACCTACTTGATGCAGTTCTGATGGTCTTGCACGCACATCTTGACTTGTTCGGGTTCGTTCCAATCGATGGTCTCGAATTTTTTCTTTACTATGGCGAATTTGGCCGAAGCATGAATCGTGGCTATGAGGCTGAAACTCGTGGCAGCCGCGATCGTGCTACATCCGAACGCGCCAAGCGTGAAATTCATCACGTAAACCCCGAGATAAACGGGACTGGACGCTGTGTCGAGATCGAAGAAATAATAGCCGCGAAAGGGCAGGATTCTTCTGTGCCCGTGAAGTGCCTGAAAAATTGAACGGACTCGTCGAAGGTACATTACGAAAATCTCACGATATTTTATGTACGGAACCTCGACGTAAGGCATGGCGGAGAAGAGCGCCCAAGTGATCACTACGCTACTGATGAAAATTTTGGCCAGCTTGAAGGACAATCTGCACCTGTTCCTCAAGACGGCGCGATCCTCCGCGCTCGTGTAATTCACGGTCCAATCCTGGCGCATCGTGTCGAGCACCTGAAACATCTCCCTGGCGTTGCGATTGAAAACGATGAGGCGTATCGTGGCCATGCTGAGGGCGCTGACGACGAGGCTGCACTCGATGGTCTCGTTCATGTCGACCTGGCCCCAGAAGGCCAAGATCTCGAGGGCTCCGCCGAGGCAGACGAACGTCACGCAGACATTGACGAGGATCCGATATAATTTTACCGGCAAAGTGTCGTCGACTGGCGACGCGCTCGGCCAACAGGCGCACATACGCAAGGCACTCTTCATCGGCCAAATTAAATTCGCATATTCTTTCTCCTCGGCCCTCGAGAATTTTTTCCCTCTCATGTTGTATGCGTCGCTGCTTTTGTCAACGAGTGAAAAAGATTTTATCACTTTTTACTGTGGCAAGTGTCAGAAAGATAACGATGCATCAGCGCGTACCTGTATGGCACGAATAAAAAAAAGTTTTAAAATTATACCAGAATAATTGCTCGCGACTGGAGATTCAGCCTATCGTCGAGCAAGTCGATTAAAGCGTCGAGCTGCATCGTAGTTTCTCCAACTTTGTGCATATAAATCAGCGCGAGCTAGAAGTACGAACTTTAGCAATCCACTCGATCTCTCTCCCTGTCTATCTCATAGTTAGTCTGGGCTGAGCCTTACCAAGTTGCTTATTTGGTCAATTGATGGTTGTCAACGACGTGAAGAGTAGACATTTTTTTTCGCTCTCATTGCGTGACAACAAAAAATTACAATTTTCTTATGGTATTTAATTTGACTATTAGAGAGGCGATGACATTTGTCAAGATAAATAAGGTTGCTTACAATGTAATTTTTTTAATTTATGAACCATTTAAATTTGTTAGGCATTACATATTTGTAAATTTGCTAGGCATAATTAACTGGTTCGATGGCTACTGAAAGATCAACTGATAGTAAAATTTTGAGCGAAAAAGATGAAATCGAGTGATTTATTCAAAGATGGTGCCAGGTGAATTTGATTTTGTGAAGATTAAACCATGAAAATACACTCGGCAACAAAATTATCGCAACAAAAAAATTCATCGAAATTTTGTCGATTTTCAAATGCTTTTATCTTGGGCTAGATTTATCGTATCGACACGTTTTTTTTTAATTTCTTGGAAATTTTGTCCTCTTTTAATCCATATAAATTAAGATAAGATTCGAGTTAATGTTGAGTTACCAGTAGTATTTGAACGTGACACTAAAAATTACTGAAAAAAATGACTGTTTGAACGTGTACCAGTACCACAGTAATTTTTCTATCGAAATCTTACATACACCATCGCAAAGTGCTCTTTTCAACGAGTAATTTAAAAAAAAGGGACCTCTCTACGATTTTTTTAACGCCCTGTAGGTCAATTTGAAGGTACGGTTTGTGTACGCAAAATGCCCAGAAAATCGTCTTGATTTCAGCTAAACGGGGAATTTTACGTACCTTAAATGATATCTTCAAAACGATCTACAGGGCGTTAAAAAATCGTAGAGAGGTCCTATTTTTCTAAATTACTCGTTAAAAAGAGCACTTTACAATGGTGTATGTTAGATTTCGATAGGAAAATTACTGTGGTACTGGTACACGTTCAAACAGTCATTTTTTTCAGTAATTTTCAGTGTCACGCTCAAATACTACTAGTAACTCTACATTAACTGGAATCTTATCTTAATTTATGTAGATTTAAAGAGGACAAAATGTTCAAGAAATTAAAACAAAAGCGTCTCGATACGATGAACCTAGCCCAAGATAGAAGCATTTGAAATTTGACAAAATTTCGATGAATTTTTTTGTTGCGATAATTTTGTTGCCGAGTGTATTATAACAAAATTCTTGATGTTACTGCAATCTTATCTATCTTATTTCAGTGACTGAAGAGAAACCCGATCTTCAGCCTGCCGAATAATTCAGTTATAAGTTCATAATTAAAGAACTGAAAACTGATAATTCAGTTAAAAGTTACTCAATTATTAACTTATAACTGATTGAATTAGTTATTATTTACCAGATAAATAACAGGTAACCGGTTGATTCACTTATAAGTTACTATCGATAAATTAACCAATGAATGATTAAGTTATCAATTACTAAACTGGTAACTGATAACTGAATCAATCAGTTATTAATTATCAGTTACTGAGTTAATTATCATAAAAATCCGAATAAAATGTTTATAAAATGGAAACCACATATAACAGTAATGATAAAGAATAAATAAATCGAAATTTAGTTAAAGATGACATGAAAATGTCTTTTATTTATATAATTTATTTATTTTCATTAATATCTAAGTATTAAACATCCAAGTATTAAATTATTATAATAATAGAAAATAAAATATGATATATTTTTTTTTACAAAAAAGTTTTGTGCTATTGGCTTTACAGAGGACTCGCTTCTCAAACATTGTTTGTGATAATCGATTTAATTTTGGGAGGTCCAATAATGTAGCATGCGAAAACAGTCTTTTCACAGGCGCTGAAGTAATGTGTTGTACTGTATAAATAGCATTTGCACCCTTGAAAAGTTCTGTAAAAGCTCTAAACGATTTGACTTTTGATTCAAATATTGTAATAAGTCGTCAGTTTACCAATTTCAGGTACTAACGGAGCTTGATTTGAAACCCGCACATAATCGTATTGACCACAGCAAGTGATTTTCACGAAAAAAGTCAATTCGTTCTAATGCAGCAGAAAGCATTATAAAATCATCATAGATGTACACTTCTGAGATGAATGAATTTTGTTTATATACATATCTTTTATAATTTGTCTTAATTTATTAATAAAAATCAATACATTTTTTTCACGAAAATCACTTGCTGCGGTCGATGCAATAACACGCGTATAGCATATTGAAGAAAATGTAAAAAAGTATTAAAAAATGTGATTTTATGCCGCGTTTTAAAATGCATTGGCTGTCCAAAATCGTTGGTTAGTTATTTTACATTTTTTTACGTTTTATTAAATATTACAATTTAATACCATAGTTTTGACTTCTACGTTTACTCTTTCTTGAACAATTTTTTTTCCATCGGGGTTGATTTAGGAATTGTAATATGGAACTTCTGCTTCTTAGGGTACCTCTACGTCCATCTGTTTCTGTGATATGAGACTTGTCACAAGGAAATAAACTTTTTTTTTAGCTTCATCGTTCAGAGCTTAAAGCAATTTCAACTTGAACTGCGGGTGTAAAAAGGCTGATTTAGCAGCATTTACTCCTAGTCCACGAACATTAAAATAATCTGTGAATCGATCCTCAAGATTTTCAAATAGATCAGACAATAGTGGTTTACTCAATTCGGTATCTGAACTTTCTAGTAACATCTGCTGAGTAGCACTGTGATTTTAAAATTAATAATGTCAACGATACACATCCAATATATAAGTTATTCTCTGCTTGTAACTTGTCAATTGCCTTGGCCAGTGCGGTAGACCATTTCATATATTCTTCTATATAATCAGAATTGCTTTGGTTTGAAACGAATTGGCTCCAAAAGACTATCCAGAATTAATGTAGAAGGAAGTGGTCCTTCAAATATCATATAGAGTGCTCCAGCGAGTTATAACAGGCCTTTTAAGACAGCACTCTACATATTTTTCTAAAGATTCCCTTTTCCTCTGAAAAAAAACCCGCGTAACCGAACTGATCAAGGGGAGTATTTTTGGCCGACTAACCCAAGTAACCAAAATAACCCAAGTAACCCAAGTAACCCAACTAATTGAGGGCAGCACTTTTGGCCGAGTAACACTAGAAACCCATCTGGTCGAGGAAAGCATTTTACGCCAAGTAACCCAATTAATCGAGGGTAGCATTTTTAGCCGAGTAACTCAAGCAACCCAAGTAACCCAAGTAACCCAACTGATCGAGGGGAGTTTTTTTTTGCCGAGTAACTCAAGCGACCCAAGTAACACAAGTAACCCAACTAATCTAGGGTAACATTTTTGGCCGAGTAACTCTAGTGACCCAAATAACCCAACTGATCTAGAGGAATTTTTCTTTCCGAGTAACTCAAGTAACCCAAGTGACCCAAGTAACCCAAGTAACCCAAGTGACCCAAGTGACCCAAGTGACCCAAGTAACCCAAGTAACCCAAGTAACCCCAAGTAACCCAAGTAACCCAAGTGACCTAAGTAACCCGAGTAACCCCAGTGACCCAAGTAACCCAAGTAACCCAAGTAACCCAAGTAACCCAAGTAACCCAAGTAACCCAAGTGACCCGAGTAACCCGAGTAACCCAAGTAACCCAAGTAACCCAAGTACCCAAGTAACCCAAGAAACCCAAGTAACCCAAGTAACCCAAGTAACCCCAAGTAACCCAAGTGATCCAAGTAACCCAAGTAACCCAAGTAACCTAAGTAACTCAACGGATCGAGGGAAGTATTTTTGGCCAAGTAACCCAAGTGACCCAAGTGACCCAAGTAACCTAACTGATGGAGTGAAGTTTTTTTGGACAAGTAACCCAAGTAACCCCACTAACCCCAAGTAACCCAACTGATCGAGTGAAGTTTTTTTGAACAAGTAACCCAAGTAACTCAAGTAACCCCAAGTAACCCAAGTAATCCAAGTAACCAAAGTAACCCAAGTAACCCAACTGATGGAGGGGAGTTTTTTTTGCCGAGTAACCCAAGTAACCCAAGTGACCCAAGTAACCCAACTGGTCGAGGCGTCATGTTTATATTTAGGAATGATAAATATTAGGAATTATGAATATTCGGAATGTTTGAAAATCGGAATATTGTAATACGTAACATGAAAAATTTGAAAAAACATAGTTTTGGAATAAAAACATTTCGGAATGAAAAAATTCCGGTAAAATGAAATTTCGGAATCCACAGAATTTTTAGTGCAAAATGTAGACTATAAAAACTAATTTTTCAAAAAATTTATATTCCCAAAATTAGTTTTTCCAAATTTTTTATGTGCCGTTTTCAATATTCCGATTTTCGAACATTTCGAATTTTACACATTCCGAATATTCATAATTCCTAATATTTATCATTCCGAAATTTGAACATGGCTCAAATTTTTTTGAGCCCTAGAGGGAAAAATTTTTTTCCTCAATTCTTTCAAAAGTTTCTCACTCTGGAATATGCAAATTGAAGTCCTTGTCATCATAGAACCTACTCGATGAAGCAAGCCTAAAGTCTTGAGAGGCCGTTTCAAACTTTTTGAACAATGGAAAAACAGCAATTAAATATACATTTTCAACACATCAGACCCACAAAGACAATTTTAACTTATTTTATATATAGTTCACTTGAATGTTAGTACACACTAGTCTTGGTTTCTTGTGGTGACTAAGTTGATGATAAAACTCACTTTTCACATAAATATGTAAAATTTCATATAAGAAATTTAATTTTATTACTCATATTTATTACATTTTATTTTCTCTCTATATTATTCGACACTGAAATTTTGATTGTAAATAAAACTAAAATCACTGAAAATATATCACTAACTTAACGAAATAATTGGTAACGAAATTTTTCAATTAGTTAAAAAACAATGGTAACTGAATAATTTTACAAACAATTATTAGTTTAGAAAAAGGTAACTGAATAATTCAATTATTCAGTTACTAGTCAAGTAACTCGTAAATGAATATTTCAATTATTAGTAACTACTTGAAAAACTAGTAAGTGAACACTTCAATTATGAATTACTATTTTAAAAAGCCACAACTTAATTATTCAGTTGGCTGTTACGTGATTAGTAGCAGATAATTTAATAATTCAACTAGCAGTTACTAATGTAGTAATTGATAAAATTTGCAACACTGTGGTATCACATAAGCATGCGATAAATATATTGAAAGTTTTTAACACATAAGGGCTCATCGATGTGGCGCATCCCTTGCGCATCACAACCGAATAAATTTATAAAATCTACGTCCTATAATATCTAAAACCACGATATAATACTAGCATAAAAAGTTTTATTTATCATGTTATTATGTTGAATTTAAAAAATGACCAGACTATTTGTTTTGAATAACTGAGTATGTATAATATAATTTATGGTTTTCTATACACCTAACTAATTACAAATTTGGAAATGTCCATTATCATCATAACAAATTTTCACAGAAAATGTTTTGCAGTTTCCTTTGAATAATATTTTGTAAGAGAGAATATCGTTTTGGCTCATAAAGTCAACAATCCACTTTTAAAAATGAAAAACATCTTGACTTTGATATGCAGACTAAAAATAAAGAACCAAGTTTTACATCGTTATGCAATTGTTGTTGGAGCATTCAAAAATAACAGAAAAAAGTTTGAAAAAAACAATTCAAACTTGGCGCTAGAGCACGGAATGCATAATTGAAGTCGCGTCTACCAATCAATGGCGTATAGTGAGCGACTCCGATTATGTGTGTTGCCAGCAACATATCGCGACGCCAATATCTCGGCACGGCGGGGGCTACGCACACACAGGCAGCAGCAGCAACGCTCGATTCGGCAGTCTCGTCTGACGTCTCGAGCAGCTTAAAAGCCATCATGTCGTTTGACGTTTCTCGTGCAGACGCAACAGTGTAAACACGTCGCAAATTCGCGCCTACATGTATACGGTGCACCGTGGGTAACACGGAGGGCAATCGACGAAAATGACGAGATCGTGAATCATCGACGATCGAATAAAGTGCAGCCGAGCGAAATATCCATGGCCATGGCGTCGCATTTATTTAGCGTAGGCGATATCGTCCATCTCAATGTCGGCGGTACGAGGTGAGTGTACCCGATCGTCCTCTGTGTTGACGCACCTCTGCTCGGCTAACTGCACTTCCAGTTCTTTTCCTTACTTTCCACCATTTTTACGTTTTTTCGCTTGAAAGCGTACGATTTCGCTGGAGGAAAATCTAAATATAGCCTCTCCTATCGATTCTGTACGCGCGTGAAATATCGCGCCAGCTTCGAGTTCATTAATTTTGCAAAGATTATAGACCGCACAAGACACCTATGTAAAGTCTCCGTTATTTATTTTTCCCTGCACTTGCGTCTCTGTTCTTATAGGTTCTCGACGTCGCGGCAGACCCTGTCTTGGATTCCCGACTCGTTTTTTACCGCCCTACTGAGCAATCGCATAGCCAGCAGACGCGACGAGAGCGGAGCCCTATTTATAGATCGGGACCCGAAGATATTCTCCGTCATACTCAATTACCTGCGCACCAAGGACATCGACTTGACAGGTGTCAACATTCGCACATTGAAGCACGAGGCTGAGTTTTACGGCATAACGCCTCTCGTTAAAAGACTGATGCTCTGCGAAGATCTGACTCAATCTTCCTGCGGAGATATATTGTTTTACGGCTCCTTGCCTGCGCCTAGTGAGTACAGTTACTTTCACTCGATTCTTAAATTGAAAAAAAGATGATTTAGAAATTTCACATCAATTACTTGTGTTTTTGTAGGCATTCCTTTGCAAGAACCCGTTGCAGCATCTACCAGTATTACAGATGTGTCTGTGCATAACAGACCAAGTGGATCAAATGCAACACCTCCTCCCAGATCTGAAGCCAACTCAAATCAACCAAATGTGTCAAATCCTAATAACCCAGCTCAGGCTGCTGCAAATAGTAATGTTTTCATTGATGCATACAAAGTTGATATTTCTTTATTTTATTTTTTAAATTTAATTTAATTGTAAAAACAGATCATCGTGTACCACCTCGAGGACATTCACATTCTCGTACACCATCCATTGATCTCAGACACGTAAGGAATAGCTCTGCAGATTTGAATAAAATGTTTAAAAACGATGTTGGACTAGTATTTAATTCTCAAAATGGTATGGTAAACTGTTACTTACAAATAACTGCAAAATTAAAAATTCATTTAAATGATGATTAATTAATTTTAGTTTCAAGTTGGGTGGATCCACTTAGAGTTCATATCATTAAGGCTCATCATAATTGGATTGCAATAGCATATGCACATTTTATAACATGTTACCGATTAAAAGATTCATTTGGATGGCAGCATGTATTTACTAGTCCACATGTAGAATCTGTGATAGAACGAGTTGCTATAAATGCAAAAATGGGAATTGGAGCAGATGGAAAAATGGTTGCTATCTCTTATGGTAGCCAAGTTAGACTTTGGGGTGTCACAGAAGATGGTATCAAATCTAACATTGGTACATTTAATTTGAATGTACGAGTAGAATATTTATTCTTTATTGGAAGCCAACTAGTTGCACTATCACCTACTGGTAAAATTGGTGTTTGGCATGCAATGACTCATCACTGGCAAATTCAAGATGTAGTATCAATCTCGTCTTTTGATACAGCTGGTTCTTTCCTATTGTTGGGTTGCAACAATGGCTCTATAAATTATATAGGTAATTTTATAATCAGCATCAAGTCAAAAAGCAGATAATGAGTCAATAATAACTGTTAATGCATGTATTTTTTTACAGATATGCAGAAGTTTCCTTTAAGAATGAAAGACAATGATCTTTTAGTAACTCAACTTTACAGAGATCCAAGTCAAGATCCTATCACAGCGATATCTGTTTATTTAACACCAAAAACAAGTAAGATTACTTATGAAATAATCAAACCATTCAATAGATATTTTCCCATCCTATTTAATGCAACAATTAAACACTCTTAAAGCTTGCAAAGTTTTTAAACTTGGTCAGATGAAATTTTTTTCAAAATTATTTATCTTTAATGTCATTATACTAATTCTTCTGATTTTAGTGGATATAAGTGGAAATAATTTAAGCTATGGACAAAATAACACCTAATAATTCCAATTCATGTAGTTAAAAAGAATATTGTCTTAAGACACTTTTATTTGATCCACTTGATTTTTTGAAAAATATTTTATTGAGTACAGTTAAATTTTCGAGAATTCAATGAATATTTTTGAAAATTCAATAATAATTTTATGTGTGATTTCCTGTATTATACCATAAAAATATTTATATCAACTTACCATAACATTTTTTGCTTCATGAATTGGTACCGTACAACTGGATACATAGCACAAGGCAAGTATGGGTATATTTGTAATAAATTTAACATCACAGTATTAGCATATACATAATTTAAAACCATGCATTTTTCTAAAAGTAGCATATCATTAACACATTACACTACATTTTAAACATCAGTAGATTTTTGTAGAGTGTATTTTCTTTACCCTTTTAATAAAACTAAAATATAAACTCTCAGTCTCTCTATGCTCAACTCATTATTAGTTTATTGCATCTACTTTTCATGCATCCAGTTGTACTTACAGTGGAAACATGGATGATATTCAATTACTTCTTAAATGATTTTTTCTTTTTCCACGATAATTTTTCATAATTTTGTGACTGACTTCCAAACATATCGCTTTCTTTTTTTCTAATATTAACAAATGATGTCATACTAAGACAATAAAATTTTTAAGAAATGTATTTATTTTTTAATCAATAACATGATAAGTTGATTGATAAGAGTATTTTTTCCTTCTTTCTCAATTTTCTTTCACGCAATCATTTCTGTATCATACATTCTGACAATCAGAAAAAATATAATCCACTGTGTTATGAAATTTCACTCACCATGTTGTGCATTTAAAATGCAATAAAAACAATCGACTAATCTCATTATTTTATTTATTATTACAGGCCTCTGTGGAAATTGGGTTGAAATCGCTTACGGTACGAAGTCCGGTAGCGTCAGAGTCATCGTTCAACATCCGGAAACTGTTGGACACGGACCTCAACTTTTCCAAACGTTTACAGTGCATCAAAGCAGTGTAACGAAGGTAATAAAATGTCTTTGTATTTAGCCTATTCTAAGGCAAAATATAATTTTTTTCGCTCACTTTTATCGTGTTCATTCTAGGTAACACTGTCAGAAAAGTATTTGGTATCTGTTTGCTCGGAGTACAATCACGTGAGAACGTGGGCCGTGACGCGCTTCCGCGGTATGATCTCGACGCAGCCGGGCTCGACGCCCGAGGCGAGCTTCAAAATCGTATCTCTAGACGCGATCGAGCCATGCATCAGTTACAACGCCGGCAATGATTTTGGCCCTTTTGGTGAGCAAGACGACGAGCAGGTCTTCGTTCAAAAGGTTGTACCGGAAACCGATCAGTTGTTCGTGCGCTTGGCATCAAACGGCAAACGCGTCTGCGTCATTCAGTCGGTGGACGGCAGCGTCATCACGTCCTTTTGCGTGCACGAGTGCGAAGGCTCGAGTCGTATGGGCTCGCGGCCTCGTCGCTTCATATTTACCGGACACTCCAACGGCACTATACAAATGTGGGATCTCACTACGGCGTTAGATCCTTCTTTCAATTCTACTGCTGGTAATAATAACATCGGTTCATAAAATTAACAAAATATTTTTTACCGAAACACATTGTTGAAAGGAATTATGTGATTGTAGCCAAAGAATTTTCCGGAGGTCCTACCCCGGACGAGCTATGGAAATTATTGGATCAATGCGACTTGAGCAATAGCCATTGCACGACACCATGTATCAGCCCATCACCGTCTTTGATTGCCTCTGGTCCGAGGATCAAAGCGAGCAATGTTTTATTCCTTAATCAATCTCAAAATAACACCGGTATGTTCGGTGGACCTAGCCAATCTTAAAAATTAGCTCTTATAAGTTTTAGTGCATTTAAATAATTTAATTTGTACATATGAAAAAAAAAATTTCAAAATATAAGTTTGTCAATGTCGCGTTCATCGAAACACGCGAAAAAAAATATTTTACTATTCTAAAAAATTGTGAAACTTGCGAACGTATATAACAGATGAAACTAGATGATTAAATATTGTTTTATTTATTGTTACGTTTGATCTTCGTGAAATGATATTGCGTGATTGTTGACAAAATCATCATTACTGTGATTTGAAAAAAAAATGTTTATCAAATTTTTAATGATATTATAAATTATCGTTTCGAAGTTATTAAAAAATAACTTTTTTGAAATGAAATGTATGCCTTTTTATTACATGTGAAAGTAAAAAAGCCAAATAAATGTTGGTTAAATCATTTTTATTCATAAAATATCAAAAATCTTTATTAACAAATGTTAATACTTTCAATATGCTTTTATCTTATGCTAAGGACTAGAACTGCTGAGGACATGACACAAAATCCACGCATAAAATATACGCAACCGTACAAAAGTACAAAAAAGAAAACAACGCGTCAATTTTTTAAAAATGTCAAACGTTACTTATAATATAATACTCACATTTCGTTATTGTATGCCCACAGAACTGTACAAGAAAACAGGCAACAAAAAGCCTCTCGATAAGTAACAGTTTGCTTTAGACATTTCAGGCACTAGTGGTTTATAAATTGCTCTAGTTATTCTTGCGAAACGCTACTGTTCTTTATACATTCGTCAATCAAAAAAAAGGCGTTGATCATTAGAGATTGCGACTCGAGCGCAGCCCGGAAAGTCTCTCATGCAACAGCGCTGATTTCACTTTTCCACAGTATTGCATTGTTGAACCAGCTTGGATTCGTCATTGGTCCAAGTAGAAAACACCAAGCCACAAGACCGAGCACGAAGACCGACATGATCTTCGCTCTCTTCATGGAATCCTCGTAGACGAAAATCTCCGAGACGTCGGGAAAGCCCATGTGATTGCAGAAGGCGTGGGCAGCGAATGGAGCGGCAAAGTGGCCGGTTCGCGCGAACAGATACGACGCGTAAGCTCCGAAAACCGTCGTGTACATGAATTGGAAGCACGAGCTAAACACGGCAATTTTCAAATCCATTCCCCTCCTCATGTTCTCGACGAAGTGATGGAAGTGCGCCACTCCGAAGAACAGCGGGCAGATGAAAATGGCCGTCTTTGGTTGGAAACATTGCAAGAGTAAGGGCAGCATGCAAGCTCGAAAAGTCCATTCCTCGGACAAAGGTGCTACTACGTGATTTCTCCACCAAATCAGAGTTTTCATATTGCTGAGCCAGTAGGCTGGTTCTTTGAAACAGACAAGAAAAAAATGAAAGTACTCGTTCAAACTTTTAGTGAATTGAGAAAAATTAGATCATTTACCCATGTACATTTGCCATAGACCGTTAACACCTTGCATGTAAAGTGGTCCGAGAAATAGAATCATCGTAAGGCACGTCGGTATGACAATGGCTTGCAGCAAACCGGACCATCTTAATCCTAATAATTGCCAATATGATGCCTGAAAAGTATTAGAAAAATATCAGTATCATTACGATGGTGAACTCATTGAGAGTTTAATGATATTTAAGGTAATTACTTCTGGATAGAATTGCTCATTTATTCCAAGATATAACGTTATCGGAGAGAGCAAGCCAATTATAAAGACGCTGAAGAAACGCCGTTTAATCACACTTGGATGGTCCCTAAAATTAGAAGTAAGGAATATTTAAGTACTTATCTATTTTGAACACGTTAATTATCAAATCATTTATTATTTAACGGCTTATAAGTATATAGTCTTGACGATGAGAATGAAGAAACTAAATTAGAGACAAAATGAAATAATTTCCAAAGGGCGAGTCTCAAACAACAAGTCACGTATAGGGGTAAATACGGGTTGCCTCAGACTCCAGAGCTTATGTGGGTGATTTGAAAAATGAATCATGCACGTTCATTACACTTCATTTCCGTTAATGGCAACAAAATTTCGTTATTTTAACCTTTCATCAGAAATATTTGAAATACCGACAATGTAATAATTCTTAAAAAGTTCCGATCGTGATTTTCGTTTTCGCATGCCAAGGGTTGCCGCGCACAGCGTGAACGCGAGAGGCGTTGTCATATTGACACTCCGCTTTCGCGATACTCGATGTGGCCTAGATATACTATTTGTACATCTTTTTTTCTCATTCTAGTATAGCAAGCAAAAAAGTTTGCATTATGAACACAAGCATTGGTCCAATTCGACAAATCTCTCAACAAATCGAAGACGCACATTGTAATGTTCACATCGCAGCTTTACGTGTAAGTACACCACGTGGTCCGAATTGTCAAGCTGAAAATTTTCGCTACCATATAAGAGCATATACGAAATCGAAGCAGCAGCAGCAGCAGCAGCAGCACGAATGCGTGGGTGTCATACAAAGAAAAAAAGAAAACAAAACAGAACGCGAACGTCATCTGCACAAACACACCCACATGACACGATACAGCTATCGAATACGAGCGATCTTTTTTTGTTCCGTTTATCGACGCGATATTTCGCACTGATTTATAAAAATGTATACAAGTACCTGTTGAGATGATTGAGCCTCCAGACGTAGAGGCTAGCGACGTAGATAACAGACAGCAGGAGACACGCCAGCACGCTCGACGTGCAATTGCCACGCTCGAACGTACTCATGTTTTATCCTATATATTTTACGATATGTTTCGAGCAGGCTATTATTATCTCGAGATCTCTCCTGTATAAGCAGTACTACGTATACAACAGGAAGTTATAAAGAATATAAACACAGCGCACGCACTGACCGAGCTATGCTGTGCGCAGTGTGTATCGCACTCGAACGATGGTCGGATGGATGGATGGATGGATGGTGCAGAACACACGATGTATACGATATCTTGCTGTGCCCTATATAGACCAGCTCTCGTCGTCGCATCCACCCGCGCCCTTCGCTCTTTTAAAGCCGCACACTTTGACTGCCCGCTGCACACATGTATACACGCAGGCTTGCTATGTAGCCGCGCGTGCCCGCGATCGAACGAAATAACCTTACTACTGTTTAGCGGCGATCAGTCTGCTACACTGCCGGTGTATTTTACTGTGCCTCTATGCTGCGTGTGTCGGAGCGGCAGCAGCTGCCAGACGGGATGAGACGACACGACAGGCCGCTAGAGCCAGCTACTTGTGAATTCTGTATGTGGGCTTGGATTTGTCAGTCGTCACTTTTTAACTTCGATATTTGAATATAAAAAAATGGAAAATATACATCTTAAAGAATGGACGTCCGAGGAATATGAATTATAATATCCTATGGGAGAAGATTTCTACCTGCGTATGTAAACAGAGGATCGCAATCGACTACATAAACATGTCAGGCCAGTGTTACACCTGCGGATCTTCTTCGAAATGATACGTAAATCTGAATCGATTTTATATCCGATCGACGCTCAATTTCGTACATATTATTATTTATGTGTAAAACAGCTGGCCGATAAAACGAAACTGGTTTTTATCTTCCGTTCATTGAGAGCTTTACAATGCGTCGTAACGTGCATTAATGTGTATAAATACGAGCCGCTGTCGATGTTAAGACATTATTAACTACTGGATAACGAAGCCCGAACGTATCCCGCAGCTACGAGTGATAGTAATTTTTGCACGTGGGTGGCATTTCTACCACACTCTCTCTCTCTCCCCCACGAATCGGCTCGGGAGAGAGACTTTTAATCGAATTTAACGAGAGAAAGCGAGTTTTAAAGCATAGCACAGGCCCGCAGTACAAAGAGAGCCTGTTATAATAAAAGAGGAGGAGAACGCGATGCAGTATTAAGGAGGGATAGAGGGAGTATAAGGGCCCGTCTCGCGGAGCAGAGTATATCGAACTCTCGTTACGCGCAGCTGAGAACGAAAATGAGAAAGAGGAGAAAAAAAAGGAAAACGAAACGAAAAAAAAGAAGGAGGCATGCATAAAGTGTAACCGAGGCAAGGACCCTTCGCTCTCTTCGATATATAGTCCGAAAGGTCCGCACAAAGGAATAAACTTATAAATGCTTTTCTTTCTTTCCACTTTGCCGCTCGTCGTCCGAAAGCTCTTTCTTTCTCTTTCGCTCGCTCGCGCTCTCTCTCTCTCTCTCTTTCTCTTTCTTGCTAACCACGATCGCACACAGCAACAAGATTGATGTGTCAGTGTGTATAACGTATACACACAAACACACTTATAGAAAGCGCCGCTGTTCGGCGATTCCGATCCGCGAAAAACATCTTTGACGTGTAGTCGGGCAGCTCGTATACGAGTCAGCAGCAGTAGCCGAGAGCGCAAAAATAGTTTAAATTCTGTCCGTCGTAGGCTGTGCTGCTCCTCGCGATAACTCGCAGTTATTGCCATATCGTATTCGCACATTTCGGAGCGATACCTCTGCACATGCACGCAAAATTGCAGTAGACTCGGGAAAGGAAAACTCGTGCTTCTGCGCGGTGCTGCCCTCGGTCTGGCGGTCCGAAGAACTAGCGCAGAATTTTTCGCAGTCGTCTGGCCGTGCAGACCTCCCTGTGTCGTTATTACTGTTACCGCGCCGTGACTCGCTCTCTCTCTCTCTCTTTCTCGCTCTTATGGGCGCAGGAATCACGAGAGCAGTGGTAGCGTAGTACGTAGCCTACACTTTTGGCCGCAGTTGAGCGGCGGCTGGCGAAGGCATCGCGTCGGTTCTTTGTATATAAACTCCGACGTATATAGTATATACATCGTACGCAGTACACAGACGTATAGACTGTCGCGCGAATTATATATATACACATAGCTCCGTGTATATAGCGGAGCCGCGCCAGTGCCTCGTCCTCGCGCTTTACATTATACATATATATACACACATATACGTGTGCGTGCGCCTATATGTATAGGGTATATTTTTACTATATACATAATATGCAAGTGTGTGCGTTCGCGAGTCACCGCGAGAGCTAGTGCGCTGCTGCTGCTACTCCGCTACTGCTGCTGCTGCGCTTATATATTTCGCATAGATAGCCTGCAGACCGAACCAGCGGAGAGAGAGAAGATGGCCGACGACCGTATCGAGGCCTTGGATGCATGGACGTAACACGACACTACACAGCTCTCAGCACTTGATATCAGACTGAGCCGAAGGATTAGCAGAGAAAATATACAGCCCGAGGATTTTCATTTTTCGCCAGATCCAGCAGCAGACATTTTTACCGTTGTTGATCCGATCGTTTCGGAGCAGCAGCCACCACTATTTTATTCCACATCTCTGTCTCTTTCTCTCGCTCTCTGATCAAGTGCCCGTAGTGTGTATATAGTATACACACACACACACACACACACACACACTCGTAGCATTATATTGTACTTTACGACCTATCCGATCGCCACATCTGTAATCTGCACTTTTTTACGTTCGACATCGACGTAAATTATATACGCGCATATGCATCCAAATGCGTCAGAGTTGATGTTTGCATGCGAAGAATCGACGACGGCTTTTCGACGAAGGGACGGCGTTAAAAAGAAAAACACAGAAAGCGTGTTACGACAAAAGACTTTCCATTGAAATTGCGAAAGTATATTGTGTATACGCTTAACGCACAAAGTATATATAGCCTATTCGAGTGATCAGTGATAAGTTTTCTTCTCTTTCTCTCTCTACTCGTTATTCCAAAAGCCGAAAGTCTTGTTGCAACCATTGGGATTTGCTGCTACTGTCTGCGGCGAAGAAGAAGAAAAATAGCGTAAAAAGAAGATAGAAAAAAACGAGAGAACTCGAGTGCGCGAGATAGTGCAATATTCCTGCGACCCGGGGACGGTGCACATTAGATATAGAGCTCTTGGCCGAGCACCAACCAGCAGCTCAGCTGCACCGGTCTAGTTGACTCGCTGCTCTCCTCGTACTCCCGAGGTGATATTCGAACGATCGAGGCGCAGACCAAGAACATTTTTTGCAGAAAACACACGGACACGGAGCATTTTATCCGAGAGATTGTGCACAGCATATCTATACGTCTCGTCGAGCAATACATATATCGTGTACGCATGTATTTATGTCGTGCAGTGTTCCAATTGTGCGTCGTGTGACAACTCGCTCGCTCGCGAGTTTCTCGTCGTCGTAAGTGTTCGTGTGCTTACATTATTATACACCGTATACGTGTGCGCGTGTGTGAGACAGAGAGAGAGAGCGAGCTGCAGCTGCGCTCGGTTAGCACGACCAAATTTTACGCCTCTACGCGTATTTGAACAACAAAACAACAATAACAATAATTGAGGTGCGATCATCGAATTGAGAAAGAAAAACTCGATCATCATGCCGAGCGCATCGTTCACGTCGTCTAGGAGCTACGTCAGGCGATCCAGGCGGAAAGGCATCAACAGAATACCTTTGCCGTCCAGGACTAGTTCTGGTAAGCATCAATTTTAAAAGTCACTCGTTTTTTTGCATTAAAAAGAAACGACGAGAAAAAAAAAACACCGCGAGATTATTTCTTTCGCGTTATTAATCGTCAACACTACATCCTATTCCCATGAAATTCCCCTCTACTTGTGCAAAGTCTCCCTCTATCTTTCTCTCTCTCCCTCTATCTGTAAGTATATGTGTGCAGCAGCATATTCTCGTGTGTGCAGAGCCGCACACACGTCAAGTGCATACACACTTATACACGCACACACATCTGTATGGCTGCATGAATATTTTCCTATCGTATGTCATGCGTAATATAGACTCACGGGCGCGTATACACATGCAGGCACACACACACACACGCACATAGGCGTATAAAAGTTATCACAAGTAGCAGCAGCAGCAGCAGCAGCAGCGCGTCGCTTGGGGATTTTGCAGTAGTGGCGGTGTATGCACTTATACATTCATTGCACACTCACGCAAACGAATACATGTTTATTGATTAGCGAGGAATGATTTTTCATCGCAATCGCGTTCGAGTTCGATAAAACATTTTTTTTTCGTCGGTTTCAAGAAAAATTTTTCAGCTATCGATTCCAGGGAGTTTCTCTCTTTCTTTCTCTCTGCTCCGCTTGCTTCCCTTGTATATATACGTATATACCATCGTGTGTATATAAAACTCGCCTCACTGCTATATATCCACTCTCCCTTTGTGTGTGTTCTCTCTTTCGCTCGCTCTCTCTCTCTTTCTCGGCATATAGAAGGCAGTATGATCCCCTCTATCCCCCTCTGGTGCGCACCTCTCCCTCTGCAGCGCACAGCAGAGAGTCATGCCAAAGCCCAAGCGAGAAAGAGAGACAGAATTTCACGATACATAATGCAGCCTGCTGCCGCTGCTGCTGCTATGTTGGACCCGTATAAACATGTATATATCGGATTTTATGTTTGGGTGTGCATGGTGGTATGCCATAATATACATACACACACTGGCGCATGTAGACTCTTGAGGCTTTGTTTTTTTTTTTTTTTTGGTTCTCGCACACTCGAAAAATCATCATACGTTTTTTAAACGTATCTAATCATTTGTAAATATTTCCTACGCTCGAGCCCGTGTAATCATCGGAGTTTTTCTCCCCAAGCATTGGACGTGGCTTTTCGGTGCTAAATTTAAAGTACTTGACTCGAATCTGTATTGATATATAGAGACTTGGCATTCGGTTTTCTCTTTCCGTGAGAACGTAGAGTGCTTACACATACGCGCACACTCGCATGCTCTCACTCATATATATATATACGTGCACTCACACAGACTCGCAGGCCTGATGGCCAAAAGGGTTCTCCCTCTTCACTCTCTACTCGGCGCAGCGCGTTGGCTCTCTTTCTCTTACTCACTTCGGTTTTGCTGCTCCGACTCTGGTCGGTCTGTCTGTCTGCGTGTGCATGTGCATGCAAGTGTGCGCGCAAGTGTGTATGCATGTCTCTGCACACACATGTGCACACACACACACACATACACAGTTGCACACTTGGGTGCCTTTTTTCCCGGACGCGGCGCCCCGTAATCGTTTTCTTTCTCTGTTTTATAAAAACTCTCACCAGCTGGTATAATGCACCAACATATCCGATGGCATTTTCGGCCAATATGTTGCGCGCCGCTCGCTTTTGTGCAAAACCACCTCGTACGCTCTAATCGGAGAATTGATGCTTTTCACGTCTGCGTCGGATTACCCATGCTTAACGGGAATCGCAATGCTACCCATCCGACAGCGATAATGACAATCCTATCTTTTCTTTTGCTCCAGCGCTATGTGAAAACACTACATACAGGTTTAAATGCTCTGGAAACGGAATGAGTGAGCGAGAGAGACAGAGAGACATAGAGAGAGCGAGTGCGTAACATGGCGCACTGTGTATAGAGCGTATGTGCAGTAACGATATGTACACTTGCTTCCGTTTAATTCTGCAACACCGAAAAATATAAATGCGTAAGCGAAGTAAGGGACTCTGCCTACGATAGCCCTTGATGTTATTGTTATTATTGACGTTTACTTGAACACAAGGGCGACCCCTACAACGCTGTATTTACATTTTTTCGAAGTCGCAGAATTAAACGGAAGCGAGTGCACTACCTACCTGCACGACGACGATAATCAATGACAAACAGTGCTGGCATTTAAAAAGCATATAAAACTTGCAAACGTTCCTACACACTTCTCATTATCTCGTCACACGAGTACGTGTGTGAGTATAATATCTTTACGACTTGCGCACATTTTGCATTCGCCATTTGCGAATATGTTTATGATTAATGCATGTAACACACTTGCATTCTGCAATGAAAGACGAAGATGTGGTAATTTTGAGTAAGTTTCGCATGCAAACAAAAAAAAAACTTACGAATAGACAGGGCCAACCATCCAACTGTGCATTCTATGACTGAAGATAAAAATAACTTTCTGACAGCTGTAATAAAGACGCGTATCAGTGTTATCAATGTTTTGGGAGTGTGTATGTTCAAATTTAGAAGTGTGCTCACAAGTACTATTATGTCAGAACTTGAGCCTGAAATAACAACAGAAAATAGTAGTTCAATTTATAATTTTGCTTATAAATATGATTTAGTAATTTTTTTTATACAGAATAACTATTTCTATAATTTCCAACGTTGTGGCATCTTTTAAAATTTTTATTGCTAAATAAATGATCTAGTGAAATTCTAAACATTTACCACTTCGTCCTTCCTAATTACTAATCATTTTAAAGTATGCAGTAACGATATACGTTGAAAAACTTAATTTTTTACTTATGTATGTCTCTTTTTAATTTTTAGCTGAACCGTGTGACTTACCATGTGCTGGAGGAGCAAATCAAATTCCTCCAGGTGGAGGAGGTATTGGTAATGGAAATAGAGGATCATCTCCCAGCGTGTCGGGAGTAGCTGCTCCATCTCCTTCACCTTCACATTCATCTCCTTATGATTTGAGACGTAAAAGTCCACCTCATCCTGACCCAGCACCAGGTACAAGTTCTGCATTACCTCCTTCAGGAGGAGTTTCTTCAGCATGTGGGTCTTCTTCTCTTCCTGCCAGAAAGCGTCCCAGGCGGATGTGTTCAACATCATTAGATGGTGTGTATTTTAAAAGAAGCAGTTTGATATTAATAAAACTATTGCTAAAAAATATCAAACTTCAAGCTTTTATCTAATGAGTTATCAAACTTCATTTTTGAAACCTCATGTTCTTTTGTTTTTTAATAGGTTTAAGTAATTCTCCAACAGCAGCTCATTATCTTCAGTATGAACTCCCCGATGAGGTCATTTTATCCATTTTCAATTACCTGACGGAACAGGACCTATGCCGTGTGTCACAAGTTTGCAAACGTTTTCAAGTGATTGCCAATGACACTGAATTATGGAAATCATTGTACCAGAGGGTTTACGAGTATGACTTACCCTTGTACAATCCAGCAACGTGCAAATTCGAGTTTATTGCACCTGAAGACTCGGAGTATCCGAACCCGTGGAAAGAGAGCTTTAGGCAACTTTATCGAGGCGTTCATGTACGTTTAGGCTATCGAGAACCACCTCCTCCATCGTCACCAACGACATCGCATCGTGATTCAACTAATAACAGAGAATCGATCTCTCTCCCGAGGCCGCGAATTCCCTGTTTTGGTACCATACAAGCGGCTCTAGATTATATAGAAGAATTCCGTAATACCGCCAGCAATGTATCGAGTCCAAGCAGTAACAGCAATGGTGGTAACAACCAAGGTAAACACAGTCACGAATAATTCATACAAATAATTTGTCAAAGATTTTCAAATACATCTTTTATCTGAATTAGCCAATTGCTTCATTGACTGTATGTATCACATCTGTGTATTCATTGAAAGTTGAGCAATTTCAGAAAACTTTTTAACGCATACGCACACATACAAGTGCATACACAATGTGGATGTATAACGTAGTCATATTTCTTTTTAATTTTTGCAAATTACGAGGGATTACGTCACGCCTACATTCTGGCTTTGTCGTATTTACAATTATACAAACTTATGTAATTTTCTAATTATGCCGCCTTTGTGTATAAAAGCATATATGGGATGGAATAGAATGGCCACAAAAATAAACAGCATATTTTAATATTTTTATTGCAGGTAACGGAAATCTCAACAGTTCTGGAAGCAACGCAAGTATTGCCAGCAACAACAGCAACAGTAATGGCAGCAACAGCAGCAGTAGCAATAGCAACACCTCTAACAATAACGATGATTTGCCGCAACAACATCTGGTATTTTTGCATTCAGGCACGTACCGAGGTGAATTTTTGGTCATCGACAGTGACGTAGCGCTAATAGGCGCAGCGTCGGGTAACGTCGCTGAGTCCGTGATCCTCGAACGCGAAAGTGAATCGACCGTCACATTTGTTGAGGGCGCGAAACGAGCCTACGCCGGTCACTTGACGTTAAAATTCACTCCTGATGCAGCAAGCACGGTAACTCATCACAAACATTACTGCCTCGAGGTGGGCGAAAATTGTAGTCCCACCATCGATCATTGTATTATTAGGAGCTCTAGTGTTGGTGAGTAAAATTAGCGAGAGAATCGTTGACTTTTATTTTTTTACTTTTCCATTACAAATTTTTGTTATTTTTATTTACAGTTGGTGCTGCTGTATGCGTGTCCGGTATGGGGGCGAATCCCATCGTAAAAAATTGCGATATCTCAGACTGCGAAAACGTTGGATTGTATGTCACGGATTACGCACAAGGTACCTATGAGGATAATGAGATCTCAAGAAATGCTTTGGCCGGCATTTGGGTGAAAAACTTCGCAAATCCGATAATGCGACGAAATCACATCCATCACGGACGCGATGTCGGTATCTTTACGTTCGACAATGGCCTCGGCTATTTCGAAAGCAATGATATCCACAATAATCGAATTGCGGGCTTCGAAGTAAAGGCTGGAGCTAACCCAACAGTTGTACACTGTGAAATTCATCATGGTCAAACTGGTGGAATCTATGTGCATGAATCTGGAATGGGTCAGTTTATCGACAACAAAATTCATTCTAACAATTTCGCGGGTGTATGGATAACGTCGAATTCGAATCCGACAATCCGTCGCAATGAAATTTACAACGGACACCAAGGAGGGGTTTACATTTTTGGAGAGGGTCGAGGTCTCATCGAGCACAATGACATTTACGGCAACGCGTTGGCTGGCATTCAAATCAGAACGAACTCTGATCCTATTGTTAGACACAATAAAATTCATCATGGTCAGCATGGTGGAATTTACGTGCACGAAAAGGGCCAAGGTTTGATAGAGGAAAATGAAGTTTTCGCTAATACACTGGCCGGAGTTTGGATAACCACTGGTTCCACACCAGTGTTACGACGGAATCGGATACACAGTGGCAAACAAGTCGGTGTATACTTTTATGACAATGGACACGGAAAACTTGAGGATAATGACATTTTCAATCACTTGTACTCTGGCGTTCAAATTAGGTATGTTATCGCATCTTTCTATCCATATGATTACTGATTAATAGGCGCGGTTAATTTTAATAATTTATCATTGTGCTGATGTATCATTGGTATCAGTGCGTATGTTAGAATACGGTTTTTGATATGATAACAAATGTTGGTAACAATTTCTATTTGAATTTTTTAAAATTGATAAAATTGCTGATTTTTTCAAGACAGGACTAAAATAAATGAATGTTTTTTTATTTTTTTTTTTAACTTATAAAACTGCCACGTTTTGTATTGTAGAATTGTTTTTATTTTATTTAATCTGATTATATCCTATGATTATTAATGAGTTAATTGTATTTGTTTATTTGCTCACAGAACTGGAAGTAATCCTGTTATTCGTGGTAACAAGATTTGGGGTGGTCAAAATGGCGGAGTCTTAGTTTATAATAGTGGCTTAGGCTTATTAGAACAAAATGAAATATTCGATAATGCAATGGCTGGCGTATGGATCAAGACCGACAGTAATCCAACGCTGAAAAGAAACAAAATTTTTGATGGCAGAGACGGAGGAATTTGCATTTTTAACGGTGGCAAAGGTGATGATAATGACTTTTTTACAAACCCCCCTTCTTATACAAGTAACATTTAACATTTATTCTCTCCATTTTTTTCTTAGGCGTGTTAGAAGAAAACGATATATTTAGAAACGCGCAGGCTGGAGTGCTTATCTCAACACAGTCGCACCCGGTGCTAAGAAGAAATCGAATCTTTGACGGTCTTGCTGCTGGCGTTGAAATAACGAATAATGCCACTGCCATATTAGAGTTTAATCAAATTTTTCATAATAGATTTGGTGGTTTGTGTTTAGCGAGTGGAGTGCAACCGATTGTCAGAGGTACACAATTATTAACCGTATTTACTTGAAATTTCACAAACTTTGTTTTTTTACAACGTAAAATTTTTTATTTTTAAGGTAACAAAATTTTCGACAATCAAGACGCCGTCGAAAAAGCTGTCGGTAATGGTCAATGTCTTTACAAAATATCGTCTTATACGTCTTTTCCAATGCATGACTTTTATCGTTGTCAAACTTGTAACACTACGGATCGAAACGCTATCTGTGTCAACTGTATTAAAACCTGTCACGCAGGACATGATGTGGAATTCATTCGACACGATAGGTAAAATAATCAATTTATTAAGCAAAAATATGAATGTTGTTAATATAACATCGATTGAAAAATCTCAGAACAGTTGATAAATATTACAAAAGCATCAACGTAAAAATGGGATTGTCTGTTAGTAAAATAAAAAAAAGAGAAAAGTTTTATGAATCAATTTTTTGTCAACAGGTTCTTCTGCGACTGTGGCGCTGGAACACTGAGTAATCAATGCCAATTGCAAGGTGAACCTACGCAGGATACTGACACTCTTTACGACAGTGCAGCTCCCATGGAATCGCACACTCTTATGGTCAACTAGGACCTAACGTAAATCATTATAATTACATTATCTAAGTCTTCAACACACGCTACAACAGGCGCGTAAAATACTATACACACTTAACGAAAAAATTTATCGACATTCGCGTATAAATAAGTTGCGACAAAAATGAATTGACGAGAAATAATTATGCGTGCAAACACGTTATCGAGCAAAACGTTGTGTGTATGCTTACTGCAGAGATTCTCGCGCACATCTGATTTTTTTCAAACCACTTACACTTACACTTTTATAAATATACATAAATAAAAGAATATACGTATGTGAACGTATAAATAAATGTACGTACATCACGTACGTGTGTACAACTTGTGTACACACGCACCCAAGTGTCTCGGCACGTAAGCGTTAATTAATTATTATGCAAAAAACAAATAGCTTTGCGATTCGCATGATACGTGCAAGACATAGAAGTAAAAAAATCTGCCGTTGAATCTGATTTACTCGTCGAACTGTACTTATAGATGACTATCAGAGATTTTTTCTTATCAAACTACGGTAGTAAATTGTATGTTGTCTTTAGAAGAGAAAAAATAAAACAAAAAAGTTTAATCAAATTTTACAGCACGTAAAGTTTACTAAGTGACACAAATATCATATGACAAATTTCTTTTGAAATATTGTATCGATGAGAAACGAAATTTTTTAAATTATAAAATCTTTATAATTTTTATTTATAACTCATTGCTATTTTTTAACAAAATAAATGTACAGCTTAAGAAAGTAGGAAAGAAAGAGTGATTGAGCAAACTACTTGTGTATGTATCATTTATAATCGATCTATTGCTTTAAGCTTACTGTTTAGGGCATGAGTATGAATTTACATTTTAATGAATTTTTCCAAGTGTACGGTGTTAATCATAATTATTAGACAAGCGCAATCACGCTGACTTATGTGCCACATATGTAAATTTGTGTATAAGCAAAAAATTGAAGTGGACTGATCGAAACAAAACTGAGACAAAAGACGAAAGGAAATTGACACACACCGATCGGTATTAATTAAAATATAAGCTTTTTGAGTATGACTTTTAATTCTACCACTGAAAAGTAATCGATGCACTTCATCTGACGTGCTGCTACAGATTTAAATGTACGTTTTCAAAATGTAAATTTAACGAGAAACGATCGAAGTTTTGAAATTTTTTTATTACACGCTTGAATGTGATATACTCTATGTATAATCAGAAATAATAATATTGAATAAGTAAGAGTAATTTTTTGCCGTAATAATCAATACTATTATCGTGATTAATATTGTATCATGAATTATCGTTCTGTCTGAAGAAATTATAATTTTCTAATTCTATTTTGTGCATCACGATAATTTGCGATACGATGGTCCTAAAACCGCCTAAGAATGCGTAAAGTTTGTAATTAAATAGTAAGCAATGAAAAGGTGATTATGAAAATTAAATGTAATTAATATAATAATAAATTATAAAAACAAAGACGTTAATCGGTGATTAGTAATAATGCAATTAGTGACTATGTGAATTTAGGATTTTCAAGTTTAAAAATACACCATACTCGTGTATTTTCAAAGATGCTGTCCACTGATAAAGTTTTTAAAACTAATAACCTTTGAACTCTTGTTAAGCATAAGCTGATACACCTTTTTAACTGAAAAATTACGTTAGTGATAACGAGTAAACACGAGCACGTATTGAGCAGATTTAGTAAAGTTCACTCTAAACACAAATCATTGTTATTAGTTTACAAAAGACGTTTCAAAGATCATTCTTAGCCCTCAATATACGAGGCAATCATTATCGCGGACTCATTTACACATTAGCAATGCAAATGTTAATTCGCAAATCACAAAATGGAACATTCAAGACTGCCAGTAGTGAATGGTTTTTCTTGTGTATTCTCATTATGGTGGCACAAATGTTAATTTTATTTCAACTGGTTTCCTGAATGTTTCAACATAATTATTGCTCTAGGTCAATCTATATGTATGTTATAAGTGAATGTACTTGTTAGTGCAAAACAGCAGTGTCATATATAATAAGTATATAAAATAACCAAGTGTGAACAGCTAAGGAGTTTATAAGTCGTGTGCAATTTGCGGTTACTTTTTGACATTTATTCAATCGTATTTTCTTATTAACTTTTTATACTACCAGATGAAAATTTGTCTCGAATGATTTTTAATTTTTTTCTTGACGAGCTTTTGTTTTCACAAATACTGCGTTTGCATTTGGATTACTGTACATTATTTGTTGGGAGTTGTATACGCTTATAAAAAGTTCCCAGTTTATTCACTAAGATAATGTAATCAACACGAGTTTATTTAATCATCGTTATCATTTCGACGGTCATAGATACAAGTTAAACTTTCGATCGAAATTTTTATTTTTAATTTCACAAAAAGTGTTCTAAAAAAATACCTTGTATTATTTTGTTCACGAAATTTATAACCAATTTTGTTAAACGATGTTCTAAAAGTGAAATATTACAACTATTTTTTTTTAATATTTGACTGTCGATTTATTTAAATATCAATCATTAATTGCTTATTCTTTAGATTTAAATGATTTTCATGTGTTGATTTTTTCGGTTCAAAATGTATTATTATTATTTATGTTAGATGAAATTATTTAAAGTGTGTAAAATGTTAGAACGTATAACTACGAATAATTCAATTATTATTGGAATTCCACTGTACCAAAATTAACATTATTGATGATAAATATACAACAATAATGATTTTTGCAATAAAAAGTGTTGAATTTTTTTTATTTAATTTTTTTCTTTAAATTTTGACATTGAACATTTTTATTTACGGCTTTAAAACGCATTGGCAGCATCTGTGAATTAAATTTTACAACAAATGCGATAAATAGCGATTGCATGGTTCTCGATCAAAGCTATTGTATTTCAAGGGCTTAAACGTCTCTGTCTTAACTGTCATACAAAAACTGCTGATGAACTTCCCTGTTAAAAAGACTTTCTCATTATTATATTTTTTTTTTATCTTTACTCAAAGCATCTCTTTTCATTGTAAAAAAAAAACAATGAAAAAATGTATTGTTAATCTAACTACATTTATCCTCTGCCAGCATGTGAAATGTACATAAATGTGTTCTGTATTTTTTGTACAGTGTTTTTTGTAAAATATACACAGTTTTCATCATTTAGCGTGACTTACACAACCGTATTATAAACATTCACAAATAACAGAAAAAATCAATCGTTAGAACATCTATGTGTCATAAATTTAAGATGAATAATTTATTAGTGGCTTAAAAAGTGCACGTCAAACGTTTTCAGTGCGCGTACATGAATCGTTGACACACTCGTTTTGTTGTTCGTGCGTGACCCTTCGTTTCTCTTATGTAATTAAAAAAAAAGAAAAACAGATACGTTACGTACTTTGAGGAAACAAATCGAGTACAATGACAAAGTCAGCAAGGGGATTGCGCCTGTGAGTTATTCTTACCACAATTGAGAGTGGAAAAAAATATTATTATCTTGATATAATTGTATACATGGTGATGAATAATAATCAAATCGTCAAACGAAGGAGCGGTAAAAAATAATTATAAATAACAAAGAAAAGCAAGACTGTGCGGATATGGAACGGGAGAGAGATAGAAATGAGCGCATAGCGCGCATTTCGATGCTCTGCGTGTATGATATTAACAATAATTAAGATTTAATGAAACGAAAAAGAGCCAATTTTTTTGTGCGTACAACATGTGTGGCACGCAACTCCGGTTAAATGAGTATATAAAGTATGCATACATTTGTACTGTTATTTACGATCAAAAAGTGCGCTAAAGGCGTTATTATAGTACGTATGGGCAGTGAGAGAGAGAGAGAGAGAGAGAGAAAAACAAATAATGCAGAAAAAGGAGCAGTTGCACGCGACCGGGCAATGATCGATATTATTACGAAATACACACACATACATACAGGAGACAGGAAAAACGAAATAAAAAGGAAATCAGTTGCGCGAGTGCAGGTACTTTGTGCGGAAGTGCGAGTGTGTGCGGTATGTGTGTCAATGTGTGTGTGTGCGCGCATATAATCGGACGACGACGACGTCAACAAAAAAGAATGCCACTTGTTACGATATAAATGTATATATTGTCTACACACGAGGTTGCAATGTGGTCTCCGTGCGTTATTGTTTTTACTACTTTTTTCGTCGTGTAAAACATACACACATTGTTATATCGTTTCGTAAGTTGCAATATGTATGTGTGTGCATGCGTAAGACTATATAATACGGTGTAAATCTATTTCCTCTTTGCCTCCGCCCGCGTATACCTTATAACAGATACAATATATAAATGAATGTACGTGTATATTGGAAAAAATCACGTATCGAATGCGATCGCACATTTTTTCCACCCCCGACATTTGTTTTTTCCTTTCTTTTGTAATAAGACGAAAGCCACAGGAATATATAGATAGAAGGGATCGATTCCAATACGAGAATCAACTGCAGTTTCGTGCGAGCGCGAGAATATCTATGTGAGTGAGTGTGTACGAATGAAATAAACGTGTGGAACAAGAGCGAAAAGATGAAAACACAAGTTTTACTCGATCTTTTTATTCACTTTACCATATGACACAAACGAGAACACGCAACATTACACAAATTATACAGGTGATTTATTTGTTTATTATTATTTATTACCACCACAGAGTCTCGAAATAATGTATGCGTATAGTTGTTACATTGTACTATAATGGCATTCTTTTTGTTCGTATCTTTATAAATGATATACAAACTAGTGATAATCGAATAAACCATACATGATAATTGATTGTATTCATTTACACACACGATAATCCGAAGTTCTGTCATTGTAAATGTATATGAAATCACACCAATTTACTAATCGTAAGCGCAATACAATCGTATCGTTGCGCAAAGCTCATTTGATTCCTATACATTTATATTGTTAGTATTGTTCGTTGATTTATGCATTGATAAGTACTTGCGCCAGTAGAAATGCTTTGCTTTATATTTATTTTTAATTTCGTCACTCCCAAGAGAGATCGTTCATGTTTATTGCTACAACAATGCAGCATCCCATTATCTCTCAGCTACTTCGCCGAACGTAGACTGCTTGCCATTTTTTAAAACTATAAACATATGTGTATGGTTAGTTGCCATTTATTTGTTTATTGCGTTCCATTATCATTAGATTTTAAGCCGACGTTATTCCAGTTATGATGCGATAAAGACGAGCAATAGATCCCATAATGTAACTTCAGTCGAAACAAAAGAGGCGAAACACTCGATATGATTGTTGATTTTAGCATTACACGCGCGCAATAACATCACGTATACACACGCCGAGCCGATATCACGATGCACGAAAGAAGAAACGGCGAAATCTGCAGCCAATGGTAAATTACGTACGATGTGTATGAAATTTTATCGTCATTAAATGAAAAAGAAGCTGAAAATAAAATAAAAATGGATCATGTGATTATCGATCTGTAACAAACAAAAAGAAAAAAAAGCAAATGACAACTGATACCACTGCGTATTCTGTAAATAAATAATCTGCCCATTATATATAATAAACGATTATACATATAAATATAATATATGATGCATTAATTATATACGGCTATTATAGGTGAAAATATATTAATATCAATTATAAAAAACACTATTATTATTATTTTTGTTGTGAGTCCAATTGTCCATCGACACTTTTTTTCCTCTTTTCGCAGTCTTAATTTGATTATCGAAAATATGCATATATACGCGCGGTAATGATACATCGACGGCCACAGCTAGCTACCATATTCAGGAAGGACGAAAAAAATTTTATTTTCGTTATAAGTGAAACATATTTCGTTTATAATTGAAAAAAAGTGAGCGAAAGAGGCAGAGGAAGAGAGAGAGAGAGAGAGGGGGGGGGGGAAGAGAGAAGAAAAAATAAGCCAACGCTTATATACAGAGGCAGTGCGCACCGCGAATATTATACAAGCAATTTAATGCCGGGGCATCGTTGCTGCTGCTGCTACGCGTTACGCATATCTGCGTTTTCAATCGGGAAAGAAAACCGTTTTTTTTCCCTCTATCAGCGAAAAGCAGTCGGGCGTAAAACGAAGCGCATCGCATCGAGTCGACGACTGTATATTTTCTTTTGCCCGAGCCAACTACAGACTACTACTACCTACAGCCTAGCTACTGCCTCTCTAAACGCGACGATATTACTCGAGCAGCGCACCCCCGCGACTCGCCCCCCGACTCCTCTGCGTTCATCTACCCGCACCTATGTGTACAGTAGTACCTTGTATATACGGTAAATATGCGGCAGTGATGTGTCAAAAGTGATACTGTCATCCTCGCAGCTTATACATGTGTACGCGCTCTGCACTGGAAAAATTGCGAATACACGCGCAGCGCACGGATATTTTTTGTACGCGTGCATTGATATATGAAAAAAAAAAAAAAGAAAAAAGAGAAAGAGAAAAAGGTAAACCGATGACATCAACGCGCAATTAATATGTGACGTATACGTACACCGGAACCTTCGTACGAAGCTGCGAACCATATAGGTGCAATTTGTCGGAGGTCTACTATATTGCAGTATAATCGGAGGCGGCAGTACACAGCGGCGCCAACGACTCTCCGGTTAACGAGAAACTTTTCTGTGCAGTCGTTTTTTTATTATTTTCGTTTCTCGAGCACACACGCAGTAGCACGTAATGAAGCTCTTTTCGCACTCGACTTTCTGAATTTATCGCTCATAATGTAGAAACTGTTGCATAGCGCGGTACGCCGCGCCGAGGCTGGACCAAGCTACTTCTCTCTCTCTCTCTCTCGCTCATTCTCTGGCTGGCCATGTGTATCGTGTGTACAAGATACAGCCCTAAAAAACGGGATAAAGGACTTTTGTATATATGCGGGTGGAAAAGTTTATTCTTTACGAGCGGCTGGCAAACGTTCGACTTTCGCCCTAATGCGTCTCCATCGACTGGAAGTTTATTACCGATCTAAGTAAGTACATATATGCAGCTGCAGCAATTGTGTGTAGGAGTATTACAATAATCGCAAACGATGTTTTTATATTTTCACGATGTGCATATCGATGTGCGTATTATGTATAGGTATTCGTTTTTTCTTATGCAGGGTGTGTGTCTGGTACGGGATTTTGTCGCATTTCTCTCTCTTTCTAGCTCGTCGTTAACGAGCGTAACGGCTCGTGTGTCACGCGTTCGTCTCTCTCTCTCTCTCTCTCTCTCTCTCGAAGCTCCTCGCGCTCACGCACAAACATTTCCTACGTGTGTACGTACGTGTGCACACAAACCAAGTTCATCAACTTTATTTTTGCCTTCGTTTACCTATCCTTTTTTTCTGCCTGGCAGTTCTGCAGCCAAACGAAGCTACGCGCTCGCTCGTATTTGCCGAGAGAGAGAGAAATAACAGAGAGAGAGAGAGAGAGAGAGAGAGAGAGAGAGAGAGAGAGAGAGGAAGGAAGAGAGGAAGGGAGGAAGCTACAACAAAACTAAGTCATAGGGTCTATGATGTGGCATTGCGTCTGTCGTGCAGTCGTGCAAGCTTAGGTAAAAGTTCAAATTATCACCAAGCGCGTGGCTGCGTATATGAACGTCATGTAGAAACGATTGCGGTTCCTTTGATGCACGTACACGTATGTAACGTCGCGCACGACGCTATTTTCGCAGCTGGAAATATTTTTTCAGCTCGTTAGTCGCTCGTAAGTCGGAAGAGAGAA